AACAGGATGGCAAAGGTGGGCAGGAAAAGGCAGGGAACTGTGTGAAGAACAGCACACGGGGACTGTCCCTGCGTCCTCTCGTCCTCCTGTGAACGTTGCCCGTCAGCCAGAGCAGGAGTGAAACCACCTTTGCTCATCCCGGAGAGGTTTCCTCCTCCAGCAGAGCTTCCTGCTTCAGCCTTCCAGCCATGGCGAGAGAACTTGACTTCCCAAGGCTTTCCTGAAACCTTGACGCAGAAGTCCTGCCCTGAGTGGGATGGACGGCATTTTGGGGAACTCTTTAGAGAAAATGAGCTGGGGCCAAACTGCCGGGCGTCCCCTCAGTGAGCTCACCTGAGACTGCGCCAGTGTCAGTCAAGTGTCTGCCCCACTCAGTCCCCTCCTCCATCCGTCCCCGAACCTCTGCTCTGTGCTGGGACTGCCGAGGTGCCCGGAGTGCAGGGTGGAGGGGTTGGAGGTGAGATCAGAGGCCGAGACAGACCAGATCACACAGGGCCCGGCTGTGCTTCCAGACTGTGTTATGTCAGGTCATCTTGGTGCCGTGAAAACAAAAATAAATGAAATAAGGACACAGACAGCTCCTCTAGGAGGTCTGCCTAATCAGGCAACATGAGAGCGAGACCTTTTGTCAGATAAAACTGCAAAGTCCATCAAAGTATGCAGGGAAGAGCATGCTGGGAAGTGGATTGGCACATGCAAAGGCCCTGGGGGTGGGAATTTGTCTGTGGCTTTTGAGGAACAGCAGGGGGACCAGGGTGGCTGGAGTAGACAAAGGGTACAGACATTGGAAATGGGGTTAAAAGAATAGGCCGGGTCAGGTCAGATGGTCAGATGTTGCTCTAAGCAGAGCAGAACCACTGGGCGCTTGAGAGCCGAGGCCACCCCGGATGTGACCCAGCACTGGGAAAGGCAGCAGAGGGACAGTGGGCTGCATCTCTGCCCACGGGGAGCCAGATGCACTTCCATTCAGCGCAGGTTTCAGGAGACTGGGAGGATCCCCAGACACTCTGCCCGGCTGGGCCCCAAGAAGGAGTGCAGGGGATGAAGACCTGTCCCCCTTCCGGGAGGCCCGGGAACAGCAGCGCCTGTCCAGGACGGGAGGATGTTCTCACTACCTCAGAGGAAACAGCACATCCCACATCAAAAGGGGGCCCTGGGCGCTCCCACGCTCGGCATCGTGGGAACTCTGCTCTCTGGGGTTCTCGCAGGAGGTGGGGCTGCAGCTTGAGGGGCTGGAGGCCACCTCAGGACTGCCCCCCTGCACCCCAGCACCACTGCCACAGCCCTCTTCCCTGGACCACACTGATGTTTGCAGCCCAGAGCTCTGTAATTTTTAAGAAGTTCCAGACATTTTAGGACAGCCAAGATCTCTAGCATCCCTATCCTGGGGTGCCCGCTACCCAGGTCCAAGGGCAGAAGCCCAGAAGATTAGGGTCTTAGGGCATTACACAGACGCAGGGAGAAAACTGGCTTCACTGACGGAAGAGGCTGCCGAGAGAGCCGTGTTATGGATTCTGCTCAGCCTGAGCGTTCTGTGATGGATTAGCAATGTCTGCCACTGGCAGAAAAAGGACAGCAGCCATGTGGGCTAACTGTTGTTTCTGTCCACCCATTTCACAGACAGTCCTGAATAGAGGAAGGAATGTTTTCTTCTTGTGAGCCAGGAAAGAAGAAAGAGGGGTGGGGAGAACAGATGTGCTAAGGATCTCTATTTGAGTGTCTCCACTGGGGGACAGGGAAGGGAAGAGGAGGAGCTGGAGGAAACAACATCTGTGCTGTCTTGCAAAGTATGGGGAGAGAAGTCAGGGTGGTGACCTCCTCCAGGAAGCCCCAGGAGATCTGACAGAGCCAGGGAGGGTCACATGTGCAGGGTGAGGGCCTCCCAGCTGTGTGTGAGTGAATCCCTGCACACAGGGTGGCTCATTGCGACTCTGTGTCCCTTTTGCAGCTTGGGTGCTTTTTCCTCTGTGTGTCAGAATGGATAGTGTGGACATATGTGCATGTGTGTGTGTGCCCTGTGTGTACATGTATGGGGGCTGTGTCCCCTGGAGGGTGAATGTGTGTGCGTGTCTGTATGGTGATCTCGGGCACACACATCTGTGTCTGGCTCTTATCTGCGTGTCTGTGGGCAGCGGGTGTTACCCGGGTGTATCTGTGTGTACACGTGGTAAGTGTGCCCTGGTGTGTGCAGCACCTTCCCTCAGCATGTGCACGCCTGTGTCTGTGTATGTATGGGGATGGGGGTTCTGGGGTATGTGGGTGCACGTATCTGCTGTGTGTTCCCTGGGAGACGGTTTGGTGCATCTCAGTGCAAAGCACGTAGCATGTGTGGGGTCTTCTGTGTGTGCTACAGTATGCATTTGTGCATGTGCTGTGTTTCCTAAGCCCAAGTGCACGCATGTTCCTTGGGCATGCTGTGTGTGTGCCACTGGACCTGCCATGGCCTGCCAAGGGGACCCCAGCCAGCTCCTCTGTGCCAGCTGTGCCCGCTGGGGACCAGTGACCAGGTAGCACTGGCCAGGCTCAAGCCTTATAAGGCAGACAAGCCCGGGGAGGCAACCATCACGGCCCCTCCCCACACACCCGCTGCAGGGCCACCCCTAAAGTTCACTGCCATCCTGTTCCAAGTTGATCATCTGTGGTTCCAACTCTGCCCACAGCAAGAGTCCTGGAGACCCAGCGACCCTGGGTTCAGTTCCCCCAGTACTGTGCGATTGCCCTGCTTTGCAGAGAGGGAAACCAAGGATCTGAGAACCGGGTGACTTGCTGTGGTTGACACTGCCACACTTTAATGGTTTCCTCTCTAAGATGGAGAGGAGTCACACCATACCTAGTGGCCAGCCACAGAGCAGTGCCATCACCAGGCCAAGAGACACAGCCTACAGCGATGACAGCAATGATGACTGTGATGGTGGTGGTGGTGGTGGCAGTGGTGGTGATGGGCTGGTGATGATGATGGTGGTGGTGATGGTGGTGGTTGTGGTGATGGTGGTGGTCGTGATGATGGTGATGATGGTGGTCGTGATGGTGGTGATGGTGGTGATGGTGGTGATGATGGTGATGGTGGTGGTGGTGGTGGTGGTGATGGTGGTGATGGTGGTGGTGGTGGTGGTGGTGGTGATGATGGTGATGATGGTGGTCATGATGGTCGTGGTGGTGATGGTGATGGTGGTGATGATGGTGATGATGGTGGTTGTGATGGTGGTGATGGTGGTGGTGATGGTGGTGGTGGTGGTGGTGGTGGTGATGGTGATGATGGTGGTCGTGATGGTTGTGGTGGTGATGGTGATGATGGTGATGGTGGTGGTGGTGATGATGATGGTGATGGTGGTGGTGGTGGTGATGGTGATGGTGGTGATGATGGTGATGATGGTGGTTGTGATGGTGGTGATGGTGGTGGTGGTGGTGATGGTGGTGATGGTGGTGGTGGTGGTGATGATGGTGATTGTCGGTGTCGCTCCCGGCCGGCAGGAAAGACACACGACAAAGTCTGGCGGTGTGCAACCTTGTCTTTATTTGTCTCCGCGTGGGCCCCGCGAGGCCTCCGCTCTGCCACCAGCCCTTTCTCGCCGGTGGACTTTCTCTATCTCTCTCTGTGCTTCTCTCTCGTGGCGAGAGAGGCATTTACTTTTATAGGGTAACAGTGGCCAATCAGTTCAAAGCGCGCGATGCGGGCTGATTGGCTAACATCAGTTGTTGCTAGGCAGACTATCTTACAGAGCGGGTTGTTTAAGTCGCCAGGGCAATCAGGGGGCAGGAAGCAGGCGCCAACTTGGCTCACTCGATGGGAGGGGTAACTTAGCTCAGGCTTTGCTCTTTTCTACAGGCCTCACGTCCGCCAAGTAAAGCGACCGGTGTCGGCCGCGGCTCCCAACAGGTGATGATGGTGGTCGTGATGGTGGTGGTGGTGATGGTGATGGTGGTGATGGTGGTGGTGGTGGTGATGATGGTGATGATGGTGGTCGTGATGGTGGTGATGGTGGTGGTGGTGGTGGTGGTGATGGTAGTGATGATGGTGATGATGGTGGTCGTGATGGTGGTGGTGGTGGTGGTGGTGATGGTGGTGATGGTGGTTGTGATGGTGGTGATGATGGTGATGATGATGGTTGTGATGGTGGTGGTGGTGGTGATGATGGTGATGATGGTGGTCATGATGGTGGTGGTGGTCATGATGGTGGTGATGGTGGTGATGGTGGTTGTGATGGTGGTGATGGTGATGATAATGGTTGTGATGGTGGTGGTGGTGGTGATGATGGTGATGATGGTGGTCGTGATGGTGGTGGTGGTCATGATGGTGGTGATGGTGGTGATGGTGGTGGTGATGGTGGTGATGGTGGTGATGATGGTGGTGGTGGTGGTCGTGATGGTGGTGATGGTGGTGATGATGGTGGTCGTGATGGTGGTGGTGGTGGTGATGGTGATGATGGTGGTCGTGATGGTGGTGGTGGTGATGGTGATGGTGGTGATGATGGTGGTCGTGATGGTGGTGGTGGTGGTGGTAATGGTGGTGCTGATGGCAGTAGTGGGGTTGATGGTTTTGGAGTCTGTGAGATACTAGGGATTGTGTTCAGTGTTGAGGTGTAAAACTTCACAACGAACCAAAAGAAGGCCCCATGTGGTCTCCGCTCGCAGTGCGGGAGGACAGCTTGGCAGAGGTGTGATGGCAGGCTCGTGTCACAGCTGGTTAGCCATGGAGCTGAGATGGTGGCAGCAGGGCTGATGCGTTTTCATTCAGGGAGGGGACAGGGCCGCGGGCACCGGAGCCAGTGTCAGTAACTAGAATGCGGCATGCGGGATGGGAGGGCGCATCAACGAAGGCCTTTGGAAAAGCAGTCTGACTCTTGTGACCCAGGATGGTTTATGAGGCCTGGTATCCCAGTGGGTACACTCCATCCCATAACAAGGTGCCACAGGAGGAATGGGGTTTCTAGATGACAGACCAAACAGACGGAGATGTGCCAGGGACCAGACTCTAGCTGTGGCCTCTTCTATCCCTGCAGGGTCCCCGCACTCCCAGTAAAGAACTTGAACGGTACCGGCCCGGTCCACCCGGCCCTGGCAGGTGAGGACCGGAAGGAGGCAGCCCTATCCTTCAGGCTGTGACCCCGCCCCTTGGAGAGTTGGTGGGCGTGGCCACAGGACACACCCCTATTGTGGGCTCCTATGGTTTCATTGGGAGGACGTTGAGTGGGCGGGGCCCAGAACTAACTGCCCCAGGGAATCTGCCAACCAGTGCCCGGAGGGTTGGGTTGTGGGCGTGGCTGACTCGGCCCCGCCTCCTGACGCCCCGCCCTGCCCCAGGGATGACCGGGATCCTCCTGTGCGCTGCGGGGCTGCCAGTGTGCCTGACTCGAGCCCCGAAGCCCATCCTACACCCGCCACCCGTGAGCAAGAGCGACGTTAAGCCGGTGCCCGGCGTGCCCGGCGTGTGCCGCAAGACTAAGAAGAAGCACCTCAAGAAGAGTACGCCTTCCACTGCCCTTGGACCCCTGAACCCCGATGTGCGCTTAGGCCTTGCCACCTTGCCCGCAACCCCTCGAATCATTCCCTTTCCCCCCCAGCCCATCTTTGACGCATGCCCACTTCAGTGCCCCCAGCGACCCCTGACATCTGACCCCTGAACCCATCTGAGCCACGCCTTGGGGGGTAGACCCCGGGCGCCTCAAGTCTGTGTTCTTACTGTGTCCCTGCAGGTAAGAACCCTGAGGATGTGGTTCGAAGATACATGCAGAAAGTGAAAAACCCCCCTGATGAGGTGAGTCCCTGGGAGGGTCCAGATCTGGGGTCGCAGCCTTTGCCCCCCACCCCCGCACGACTTCCTCGGGGGTCCAGGTACTGCGGACTTCTTCCTCCCTCTCCTTGACCCTGTATTTGCTTTATGGGGGTCACTGGCTTAAGTTTAATAGGGGCACATTTATCAACCTGTTTTTTTTCTTTTTGAGGTACTGGGGATTGAACCCAGGGCCTTGGGACTAAGTAAGCTACATTTTGAGACAGCATCTTGCTAAATTGCTGAATTGCCCAGGCTAGGTTCCAGTTTGCAGTCCGTCTGCCTCGGGCTCCCAGAAAGCTGGGATTACAGGTGTGCGCCACTACATCGGGCTGCATTTATGGATCTCTCGGTGATGGACAACTTTGCATCACATTTTGACCCATACTTTCTACTACATGCTTTTAGGTTTTGCTTTTGAAAGTTTAGCCTTTTCCATCAGGAGGAGGTGGAGTGTGAGGGAGCCGTCTTTTCCTCCAGACTGGCTCAGAGTTCTCGAACCCAATCCCGTTGAGTTGTGGGCGTGGCCAACTCGGCCCCGCCTCCTGATGCCCTTCCCTGCAGCAGTGACTGGGACACACTACCCTTGTGTCCTCTCTGCCATTGCAATGTGGGTACCACAAAGCGGGTGGTCTGTTGCCCGAGGTGGGTATAAGCCCAAGCCCCACGCTGGTCCAGCGCTGACCAGGGAGGTGTCCTGTCCATGCCCCTGCAGGACTGCACCATCTGCATGGAGCGGCTGGTCACAGCATCCGGCTACGAGGGCGTGCTTCGCCACAAGGGCGTGCGGCCTGAGCTGGTGGGGCGCCTGGGCCGCTGCGGCCACATGTACCACCTGCTGTGCCTCGTGGCCATGTACTCCAACGGCAACAAGGTGCGTGGCTGGGGCGCAGGTGGGGTGGGGTGGAGAGGGGCAGGACCCAGGACTCACGGCACCTCCCCCCGGCCCAGGACGGCAGCCTGCAGTGCCCGACTTGCAAAGCTATCTACGGGGAGAAGACGGGGACGCAGCCGCCCGGGAAGATGGAATTCCACCTCATCCCCCACTCCCTGCCGGGCTTCGCAGACACCCAGACCATCCGCATCGTCTACGACATCCCCACAGGCATCCAGGTGCTGGGCGCCCCTGCTGGCCCGTCCAGGCCCGCCCGAATCAGTTCCTCTGCCCCCTCCAAGGCCCGCAACTGCCTGTGGCTTATACCCTGCTGCCCCCCACAGGGACCTGAACACCCCAACCCTGGGAAGAAGTTCACGGCCAGAGGTTTCCCACGCCACTGCTATCTCCCCAACAACGAGAAGGGCCGGAAGGTGGGTGCCGGGGGACGCAGCGGGGTGGGCACTGCCCTGCCCCCTGGGCCCAGGGTCCCTCCTGTCCCCAACCTCTCCTCTCCTCCTCATCCCCCAACCAGCACCCAGACAGCAGCATCAACCACAAGGGCACCCCCTCCTTCACACGTCTCAACCCATCCCGCAGTCCGCAGAGCTCTGGGTCTTGACCTCACCTTACAGATAAAGAATCGAAGCTTCAGGCAGAGCGGCCAGTAACTCAGCCAGAGTCCCACAGCCCCTAAGTGGAGTGGGGATTCGAACCCAAGCCGTCTATGCCTTCACCTCACACTATAGATTAACTGCTTTTACCAGTTTTTGTCTTTTTGTAAGAGAAGTGAGAAATCTAGATTTTCACGGGACCTCTCGGGGGTTTTTTGTTTGTTTGCTTTAATATTGGCAACTAATTCACAAAGTGGCTATTTTAATGCAGTGTGGGGTCCATACCAAGTACAGGCAGGAGCTGCCAGTTTAAGACACTTCCTTCACCCCGGAAGAGACAGATGCTTTGGGAACAGCTTTTGCTGAGGGCTGGGGCGGGGAGCAGGAAATATAAACAGGAAGGAAACACAGAGCCACGCGCGCTCCATAGGTGCCAGCTCAGGCGGCTGCGGGCTGCAGGGTGGGCCGGGCCACCTGTGACCTGTGCCCGTCCCCAGGTGCTGAGGCTGCTCATCACGGCCTGGGAGCGTAGACTCATCTTCACCATCGGCACGTCCAACACCACCGGGGAGTCGGACACCGTGGTGTGGAACGAGATTCACCACAAGACCGAGTTTGGATCCAACCTCACGGGCCACGGCTACCCGGATGCCAGCTACCTAGACAACGTGCTGGCCGAGCTCACGGCCCAGGGTGTGTCCGAGGCTGTGGCCAAGGCCTGAGGCCCGAGTCTGCACACCTGCCCTCCTGCTTTGCCCCTGGTCTGGCACACGCCTCCCTCTACCAGGGGTGACCTGGTGGCCCCAGTTAAGGGCTGGGGAGGAGCCCGCACAAGGAGCGGGGAACGTTCCGGGGATTTGCTTGGTGGCAGTTGGGATGAGGGGAGGCTGCTCAGCCTGCTGGCTCTGCCCCGTTGCTCCCTGAGAGGGACCAGAGAGAAGACCGGAAACCACAGCGACCTCCCTACCGAAAAGACAGCGACCCACCCCTCACACACAAACACGCGTCCTAGTGAACACATGCACGCACACCCACGTGCCTCCACACTCCTCCGGGTTGGGGGAGAAGAGAGAGAGAGACCCCATCTGTGTCCCTGCTCCCTCTGTGCAGGCTTGCCTGCACCCAGGACTCAGGGCGAGTGCTGAGGCCTCCAGGGCTCTCGGGGGGATAGAGAATTCGGGAAGCTTGGTCTCCCCATGCTCACCCCGCTGCTTCATCTCTGCCCCCTGGGGGAAGCCCCCAGACCATTGCATAGTGGGCCAGTGTGTGCAGGGATGTCTCTTCATCTTTTGGAACCCTGGCTTCCTCCTCCCTTCCCCTTCTCCAGGCCTTGTGTCTACTCCACATGAAGGCGTTCTCCTTCCTCCCCACCCTCCTCCTCGCCACCAGGCCCTTCCAACTTTGAGATTCAAAGGCTGTCGCTTCTGCTTTCAGGAGCAAGAGGAGGAGGCCTGGGTCAAGCCAGCGCGTTGAAAGGGAAAGAGGACAGCAAAGAGTTAATTCCCCTCTCCCGGGGAGTGGGCAGTAGGGTGGCTGATTGTCTCTAGCCAACCAGGGGCCCGTTGCCCAGGCAACTCACCAGCTCCGCCTCTGTTGATTGGCTGTCTCAGTGGAAGTCAGCCAAGATTTAAAGGGACGCCAGCGATTGCGCTTTTGAAAAACCATACCAGTCCCACTGTGGGTGGAGAAATAAATGGTCTTTCTCCTCCTCGCTCAGGTCTTTTCCTGCCAAAAGGGGGCTGGGTGGCCGTGTCCTACTGGGCCTTGGAGAACGTGGGAAATGATAACTTGCAAAACAAGGGCACCTCCAGGCCATTGCTTGGGGCCACTGGAATGGAAAGTCCCTAATTCTCCTGTCCTGGAGCAGGAAGGGAGACTGAGGGCGAGGCCTCACTGCTGGATCTCCTGAACACCGAGAGGACAGTGGCCTGCTCTGGAGCACAAGGGAACGCACACACCTGCTCTCCCACACGGTGATAAAGAGACAGGTGCTTGGCCGGGATCCCCTGGGCAGGGTCTGTGCAGGGAGCCCAGGCGCTGCAAACCTCCCTTGTGAACATGGGCCGCGGCCAGGTTCTGGGGCTGCTGCGGCCAAGGCTGTGGGTCCGAGTGACCCCTGCTGGCCACCTGTGGGATCACTCCAGGCCGCCTGCCTTGAGCATCCTATGATGTCCTTCCTGCTGCTACAGAAAACGGAGAAGAGTCCTTGGAGGTATTAGGATTTGCCAGTTGGGTGTCCCCAGAGACAGGCTGTGGCTCATTCCCCAAATGTCACCTCGAATTCTAAGGGAGAAACTTGCTCACTGCCCCGGGGCGCTGACCACCTATGTATTACCCCCGGGAACTGCTTGAAAACCCCTATTCCTGCCCTGTAAACCCACAGACTCTGGGTCAGGGGCCAGGTGCAGCCTGGGAACCCACTTCGAGCAGATCAGGTCTGCATCTGCCTATCTGATCCCAGAAACTCTGGGTTGGGCACCCAACCCTGATTACAAAAGGATCAATCAGGTTAGAGGACTCGAAGACACAGAAACAGGAAGGGCTGAGACCATTTAGTGCCCATCTGGGCAATGAGGCCACATGGGGATTGGGGTTTCAGGTATAGCTGTATCCAGCCCCTCCGGGCCAGGCTGGCTTCTCAGATGCGGTAGAGGCCCATCCAGCAGAGCAGAGACTCCAGGCTCAGACGATCGGGCTCCTCATCCAGGGTGATACTCATTCAGTGCAACATGGACCTGGCTCGGGGCTTCCAGGCCACACCTGGACGGGACTGGCAGGACGGAGCATGTCCCTGGGGATTTCCCAGCCATAGCCACAGAGGGACGGGGCAGCCACAGGGAGACTCCTGTGCTGGGGACGTTGAGGCCACCTTGGGGCTCTCGGCTCCTCCTCAACAGGCTCCATGGCTTGTTTGTTCAGGACCCCCAGGGGCCCGGGGCCACCTTCCCCTGGCCCTGCCACTGGAACTCATCATGGGCACGGTCCAGGTCCTCCAGCACCTCCAGCAGGCGGGCAGCGGCTGCTTTCTGCCGGGCCAGAGCTTCTGGGCAGGACCCTGGGGGGACATGAGGGTCACTGTGTCTTAGGCCCACAGGGCAGCAGCCAGCACTGGAACCCAGCACCTTCAGAGGCTCATGTTCCACAAATCACCAAAAGCACCAGCGCCCACAGCCCCACGAGGGCCTGGATGTGGGAGGGTGGACAGGTGGCACAGGCTGCCCTCGGCGAGCTGCAGGGATGAGAAGGGCACCCCCCTTACCCTGCCCTGTATCTGCCTCCTCCGCTGCGTCCGGGTGGGACTCCTCCAGGAATTTCATCCTGGAAGTGGACAGGGAGAAAAACCAGGTTGGGTTTGATTCCCTGTCCTGCCCCAGCCCCAGAGGTGACCTGCTGGCTGCAGGAGAAACCACTGGTTGCAGGAGCCCAAAGCATCGTCGTCATCATCACCATGGTACAGGGTGTCAGCGCGGCAGCCACTGCCCTAAGCCCTTCGAGCACATTAACTCAGTTAATGATCACACTCAACTCCTATGAGGTAGGCACGGCAGATGTCACGGAGGCACAGAGACACAGCAACTTGTCTGAGGTCACACAGCATATTAATAATCATTGCTGTGTACCAAACGATAACTATGTGCCCAGGTACCTATGAAGGGTTGGTTAGCTCCTCTATCCTTAGGTAAATAGTATTATCCCCATTTTCTACAGGAAGAAACTGAGGCACAGAGGGGGTAAGCAATTTGCTCAAGGACACACCACCAGCAGATGGATCTGGTGCAGACAGGCCAGCTTCAGAGCCCACCCAACAATGGGTGGGGACAAATGTCCCTCACTGAACAACAGTGATCTTAAGGCCAGGAGGGGATGGGCCCTAGCTGAGGTCATGTAGCAAGCTCGGGGGACCAGGGTCTTATGTGAACTGTGCCTGTGTCTCTGGTGCCTGGGATGTAGGAGCATTGGGACCCAAAGAGGACGCCCCCCAAGGTCCCCAGGCCCTCGCCTCCCCAGAGGGTCACGGGATGTAGAGCCCAGAGGGGACGCACACCTGAGCTGGTCCCGCCCCAGAAGCAGCTGCCTGTAGACCATCTGGGCCTCGGCGTCGGGGTCCAGCGGGTCGCTCCAGTCCCCCAGGGTCACCGCTGAGTGTGTGCGGCTGCAGCCAGCAGCTGCGGGAACAGGGACACAGCGTCATGGGGACTCCTCTGTCCCCCACCGGATGCCATGCCCTGCCCTGCGGCCTCCAGCATCCCCACCCGGTCCTCTGCTCACTGCCCGAGGCCTCACTGTCTCTGCCTCCGAGGCTGCTCCCCGGGCCCAGGTGGCAGAGCCCAGCCCTCTTGCCGCCCTGTCCCTTGCGGGCTCTGCGCCCACCGACTCCTCTCACCCTCCCGGGACCCTGCACAGCAGGTGCCCACGTCCATGTCCCCACAGGTGCGGAACCAGAAGCACAGCGAGGCCAAGGAACTCGCCCAGGGCTGCACAGCGCACCCAGGCAGAAGCGAGCCGCGGAGAGGTTCGGGGCAGAGCTGCGGGCGACTGCGCCCCTCACCTGAGCGCTCCGCCTGGAGGCAGCAGGTCCAGCGTCCCCCGCGGAAGGCCCCGGGGTGGCAGGCGGCCAGCTTGTCCTGGTTGGGGGCGCTGGCCTTGCGCAGGGCCGACAGCCACTGGTTGAGCTCGTTCACGTTCTGCAACGGGGCGGGGCAGTCAGGAGCTGGGCGGCCCAGGGCCCCCCCGGCCTCCCGGGGCCTCACCTTGCACTGGAGGTAGGTGGTGTGCGGCGTCCCCGCGCCGTCCCGTGTCACCACCTGCATCACGTGCGGCAGCTGGAAGGCGCCCTCATCCACGCGCTCCACGGCGCGGATGTGCGGCACGGGGATGGAGGCGTGGGCCTGGGGACAGGTTTGTCTCTGAGGGCGGCCGGGGACAGGGGCAGCTTCCCCCGTGGGTGTGCATGGTGGGGGGCCTGCGGGGTGGACGTTCACCACCGCGTGTGTGTGTGTGTGCGCGTGTGTGTGTGTGTGTGTGTGCGCGCACACCTGTGTCCTACAGTCCCGCCCTACCGCCGCCAGTGACCACTGCTCCTACGGCCATGTTCTGAGTACCTCCCATTTATCGACCTATTTAATCACATCCACAAACCCTCAGGTGGGGTCTGTCCCTCTCCCAGCTTGTTGATGAAAAGGCTGGGGACAAGAAGCCAGTGACCCTCCCGAGGACACGCGGCCCGTGGGGCCCAGTCCAATTCTGCCATGCTGACAAACACAAGTGGCAGCGTGGCCCTGGCTGAGGCCACTGTCGCTGGGTCTGAGGAGCTCACAGGGACGGGGCCCAGCAGGGGTCTGCTGTGTGCCAGAGGGGATGCCAGCCCCCTGAGACAAGTGTGTCCCTGCCTTGATTATGTCATGCCCAGGACTGGCCCTGGCACTAAGAGATGCTCAGTGCGTGTTTGCTGAATGAATGAATGAGGGACGGATGCCTGGACGTCCCCAAGGGAGCACATCCGAGCTTACCTGAGTCTGGACAGCACCGGGGAGGGGTTCGAGACGCACCCACTCCTGTCCTGCAGCGCCCTGGGCCCCGCCGGAGCACAGCCCGAGGTGCTCAGTGGCTGTGCCTGTGCCTGCCTCAGTTTCCCCTTGGGTACAGAGACGCAGCTCTGGGAGGGAGGCCACCCGGGAGAGCCCTCCCCTGCAGCGGGTGCTTACCTGGCACTCGGGGCCCTTGGCATAGGACAGGGTCTCCCCACTGAGCCGGAAATAGCGCTTCTTGAAGGCGAAGCACGTGGCCAGGCCGCCGGGCTCCTCCTTGCGCTTCAGCAGGAAGCCTTCCCGGACGGTCAGCGAGGGCGGCACCAGCGCCCTGGCGGGGCCGCCGGCCTCTGGGGAGTGGACAGAGGGTGGGGCACAGAGATGGGGGTGGGAGGAGCACCCGACCTCGAAATCCCCCCCACCCAGGGAGCAGGCAGGTGGGGTCCTCCTCCAGCCCCATGAGGCGCAGGCAGGGGCCCCCAGAGGGAGCCTGGCCCTGCCTGAATCCTGCGCTGGCCTCTCCGTGCTGCCCCAGCTCTCTGTCCCCATGGGTGTCCCCACTGCACCCTGCCTTGTGCTGACCACAAAGGGAAGGGGCCTCGCCCCCCAGGTCCTCTTCTCCACCTCGCCCAGGTCAAAGCCAAAGTCCACCCATGTCTGCCATCGAGCCCCTCATTTCTCCTCCACCCCCCTGGTTCACTCTTCTTTGCTGGCCTCCTCCTGTCACACTTGGTTCCTACCTCAGGGCCTTTGCACCTGCTCTGCCTTGCCTGGAGCCCCTCTCGAGATGGTCAGAGCCTGCCTCCCTCCCCAGCATTCCCATCCCTCCTTTATGTTCTCCTCTTTGCACATACAACTCCCTAACACACCGAATCTGCGTGTTCTTGTTCATAGCCTGTGGTCCCCACTAGAACAAAATTTCTGTGACAGCCATATCTTCTGTCTCATTCACTGCTGGGTCTCAAGAGCCTAGAAGGGTCCCTATTACAAAGTAGGCACTTAAATATTTCCTGACGACATGTACACCCCATGCCACACTCCTAGCCACGCTCTCACCCTGGTGAGCTCTTTTCAACTCCAGGAAATGTTAGTTGACTGACTAACTTATCCACAGATCCATATTCTCAGAGCTGAGGATGTGGGGACTCAGTGGGGTGGAGAAGAGTGGTCCAGGTTGTGGGGTAGGGCCACATGGGAGCTTACCCTCATCCACCTGAACATCCACCAGCTGGTCCAGGAAGTCCTTCACGCGGGCAACGCTCTGCAGCAGGAAGGGGTGCAGGGGTGCCATCCACAGCTCCTTGCCCTGGCCCAGTTGTTGGCCCAAGTTGCCGATGCTCTGCACAGCCTGCACAAGGGGCAGGGCGCCAGGGCTGAGTCACATGGACCAGAGGGGGACCCAGAATGGGGCCAGACCCCAGCCACTCAGATCAGTGCTGGGGAAGGAGGCTCGGCCCCACACAGGTGTGGAGGCAGCTCTGCCCTCCTCTTTTGGAATCTGCACCCAGGGCTTTCATTCTGTCCCCTCTCTAGCCTAGACCAACCCAAGGCTTCCAAGTCCTGCCCTGAATGCTCAGGAGCCCAGGAGAACCTCAAGGTGTCATCAGTTTGCCAAAGATAGTCTAATTCATACTAATGTGTAAGTGACTGCCAGAGGGCTTCCCACATCCGTCCCCTCCCCAAGGACCAAGGTTGGATTACAAAGGAGAACTCCGGAGAGCAGGAGGACACCGGATAGCCTGCGGAGGGTGTGTGCCACACACGGGTTTCCTTGGGGCTTCGGGATTGGTCCTGCCTCCCCCAGACAGCACCTTGGCAAGCAGCAGCAGGGAGCGGCCGGTCTGGGGGTCCGCGTGCTGGTCCCGGAGGGCGAACAGCTTCGGCGTGAGGATGGCGGGCGCGAAGAAGCGCAGGAAGAGAAAGCCACTGACGGCCAGGTACTTCACGTCCTGCGGGGTGGGGGCAGCGGGTGAGAGGCCCACGACCCCCGCGCAGCTGGGGAAACCGAGGCAGCTGGGACTAGAAGTGGGGCTCGCGGAGGGAGTGGGGGCCGGGGCCGGGAGGCCGTCCTGGCCTGTTTCCCCCAGTGGAAATGGAGTGACGGCACCAAGGTCCCACGAAGCCGGGTGAGCCGGGCCAAGCACGCGGCCCCAGGACGCTGCTGGGGTGCAGGGCGGAGCCCGCCCGGATGGCACTGAGGACACTCACGGCGCCCAGCTGCGGTGCAGATGTCACAGCCCACCACAGAGCAGCCCGCGGGGGCCCGGGAGGGGCGCTCCCTCCCCAGGCCCAGCTCAGGGCCGGGTGCGCACCGGGCGGGGCGGCTGCAGGGGGCGCTGCACCCTGCCCGGGAGAGGAAACCGAGGCCCACGCGAACCGCGTGCTGCAGGCGGCCGGTCTGCGCCCCGGCCCGGGGGCCCCCCAACCTGCTCCCCACCCAGACGGCCCTCCCCGCGCGCATGGCGCTTCCTGGGCCAGGAGGGAGCTGGGCACCGGGATGCCCAGAGGGGGCGCCCCACCCTCGGAACCCCAAACTCTCCCGGAGTCGCTCATTCCAACCCCCCCCCCGGCGTCCCCGCTTGCCCTGGAGGCGAGAGGTGGGGACCCCGGCGGTGGCCCCGACGCCAGCTCCCCCGCAGGACCTGGACTGTCTGCAGAGCAGCCCCCCTCCCTGCCCTGCTCGCCAGCTGCCACAGCTGCGACCCACTTAACACCTCCTCGCAGCCAGGCGACAGGCGACAGGCGGGCAGGCCGGGTGTCAACCAGCCCCGCGAGCGGGTGGGGCGAAGGGGACCCCGAGGGACGCCGGCCAGGAGCCCGGGGCTAGGTCCGAGGCTGCCTCCCCGGGCCGAGGTGTTCTGAGCACTCTGGGCCCCCGTCCCCCTGGGACAACAGAAGCCGGGATCGAACGCTGTCGATGGCTGCTAAGGCTCCCACGGTCCGGCTCCAGGTCTCCCTGCATTGCGAAGAACCAGCCTCACCGGATGTCGCTTGCAGGCGAGGACGATGACTGCCACCTTGGAAGGAGTGTTGAGCACGAACCCAGAGGACAGTCCAACCCCAAATGTGCGATGGCCCATCCAGAATCCTTTGGGTTTGTGCAGATGACTTGGTGCGGACATTTTCTGTTTTGCAGGACTGCTGAGTGAACCCAGGGCCTTTGCACGGGGCAGCATCCCCGGAGCTTTTTTCTTTCTTTTTGTTCATTTTGAGACAAGGTCTCACTAAGTCACTCAGTTGCCCAGGGTGGACTTCAACTGTGATTCCTCCTGCCTCAGCCTCCCTGAGTGCTGAGTGGACAGGCCATGTGCTACCAGGCCTGGCCCTGCTGACATTTTAAAACTGAGAAACCTCATGTAAAAGTCAGGACGTTAGCTTAAAACAAAAAACACAAAACACGGCCACCATGGTTTACAGTGGCCCCTTTCAAAGACCTGTGGGGGGACATTACCATGGACTCCCCACTCCTGCCACCCACAGCACTGTGTCCGTGACCTCGCCTCCCTGACCCTGCAGCCTCTGGGCCTCCACTTTCCCATCAAACACAGCATGGCTGCGGCAGCCTTTGAGGCCTTATTTTGATTTGAGGGTTTGCTCTTTTTCTTTCTTTTTCTTCTTCTTCTTCTTTTTTTTTTTTTTTTTTTTTTTTTTGAGATGGGGTCTCACTATGCAGTTCAGTCTGGTCTTGAGCTCACTTTGTAGCCCAGGCTGGTCTCGAATTTCCAAGGATCCTTCTGCCTCAGCCTCCCAAATGCTGGGATTATAGGCATGCCTGTCTGAGGGGGTTTTTTTGTTTGTTTGTTTGTTTCATTTTTTTGAGACAGGGTCTTGCCCTGTACTTTAGGCTGGCTTTGAACTCAGGGTGCAGCCCAGGCTGGCCTGGAACTCACAGCAATCCTCCTGCTGCAGCCTCCCTGTGCTGGGATTCCTTGTGTGCACCACCCACCCGCATCTTCTGGGGGTTTTTGTGTGCACCAGAGCTCCCTTACCAGCTGTGCAATTCACTTCTCTGGGCCTCAGTTTTCTTCTCTGTAAAATGGATATAACCCTGGCATCCACCTCACAGGATGAGTGTGGAGATTAGTAAATGAAGGTAAAAATGGCTCCCAACAGGATCTGGCGCGCGGGAAGCGCTGCGCAGCAGGCGAGCTGCCGTGACCGTTATTACCATTATTAGAGCTACTGTTATCATCACTACTATCATGAGGGCCCAGGGCCCCGGGTCCTGCCCACCTCAGACAGAACAGAGCTGGCGTCCACCCTGCCGCCCCTGGCCCGGAAGTCACCTGATGCTCCGCCCCCGGGAAGCGCTCCTCCACACGCTGCTGCAGCCTCCGGAAGGCCAGGCGCATGGCGGCTGGACAGCGCCCCGCCGAGGCCACCATGGCATCCACGATGAGCCCCAGGTAGCCGGTCAGCAGCCCCAGGCTGGTCTCCCGCACCTGCTCCTCCGAGGGCGTGCCCTTGAAGGAGATCCTCCTGGGGGCGCACAGAGCTGCTCAGTGTCAGGGCTCAGAATCTCCTTGGGCTGAGCACCCCCAGATTCTCACTGCTGTTGTTCAAACATCCTGTGCTCACCCCATCTCTGAGACTTTGCAGTGTCTGCTGTCTCTCCGTGTGATACCCTTGACACTGCATTCAGCTTAAAGGTCACCTCCTCCCACCAGCCACCCTCCCTGTCACTCAGTGTCCTCAGTATGACTATGTGAGATGCCTATCCCGACCCCAGGGCCTTTGCACTTGCTGTGCGTCCTGCCTGGACAGCCTTCCACCGAGTCCTCGAGACCCCCTCTCTCACAGTCCTCACATCTTTGCCTGAATATCCCAACCTGTGAGGCTGCACCTGTCACCATCCCATGGAATATTATGATCCCTGCCCCAGATTTACTCTTCCACAGACTATGCTCAAAACTCTTTTGCATCCATCTCCCCCAGAATGGGGATCTGTCCTTCATTCCCTGGACTCTGCAGTGGCTGCAGTGCGCCCGTGGCCTCTGACCTCCTGCATTTAACCCCCTTGGGTTGAGCAGCCTGAATGATCCCACTGAACAGAGAAAGAAACTGAGGCCCAGAGAGGCTGCTTTGCAAATAGGGACAGAGCTGAGTGTACAGCTGAAGGCTGCCAATGTCTGCTCGCCACCCTTCCCTGCCCAGGGCCCTGGGTGTTCTGCCCCTTTGCTCAGGGTCTGGGTTCAAATTCTGAGTGTGCGACTCGCAGGCTGTGTGCCCCGAGGCAGGTGTTCTGCTCGGAGGCTGTTTCCTGTCGGTGGAAGGGGGTCCCTGTCGCTGCCCCTGGGGTGGCTGGAGGGCAGGCGGGGCCCAAAGGGCAGGAGAACCCTTCCCTCTTCCATCCCACCACGGTCCGGCACCCACCTCCTGATAAAGCTGCGGGCTGGGCTCGTGCTCACCCCAGCACCACGCCTCGGTGTCACCCTGAGGCCCCAGACGCGGAACCAAGATTCCAGCCCAGGGAGCTCCTGACAGAACCACTACCCTGCGCAGCCCAGCTCCGGGGCGCGGCAGACAGGTGACGCTCGCAGCTCCAGGTAGGAGGGTCAGGTTGTGGCCCCCGGCAGGCTCACCTGGCCCGGCCCAGGTCCATCTTCCCCGGGTCCAGCTCCATGTACTTCTTCTCCTCGAACACGCGGTTGATGACCGGCTTCAGCACTTCGTGCAAGTAATGCATGCCCACGAGCTGGGGGCGGGGCCACAGGGCTGCTGAGGGCGTGGGGTGGAGGTGGGCGGGGCCAGGAGGCGGGGCGCCCACAGGGTGGCGGGGGAGGAGATGGGCGGGGCCACGTGGTGACTGGGTGTGGAGTGGGCGGGGCCACAGAAAAGGTGGGCGGGGCCACCTAGCGGGATCCACGTCCCATGGGGAGGCTGGGCTTCTGTAGACTGACAGCTCACCTTCATGAACTGTTCCACGGCCTTGGATGCCAGAGAGTTAGAACGGAAGAGGGTGTTGGGGTCAGCTGGGAGAAAACAGGACGTGTTTGCTGGGATTTGGGGGCTGGACCAGCCTGGCCCCCTCACCCAAGGTGGGCATCACGACCCTTCCAACCCCACGAATTAGGAACGCCCCAAAACGGCGACTGTTCACAGTACAGAGGCCCAGAGTGGTAAAGCAAGCTGCCTGACCTCACACAGCTCACAAGTAGCAAAGCTGGGAGTGTGCCCTCAGGTGCTCGGGGGCAGCTGCCACCCGCCTTGAAGAGTGACTTCAGGGGATGATGGGGGAGACTCACTGGTCCGAGCCACCTCGCGCCGGGTGAGATAGTCCAGGAAGGGCCCGGCCAGACCCTGGCCGAGAAACAGCTTCACCAGCTTGGTGGCCAGGTCCTGGCGACAGTCCCCTGAGGTCAGCTCCTCCAGCACAGCCAGGGGGCTGGCAGTGTCCTCCTGAGCAGGGACAGAAGCATGGGGTGACCTGGGGTTCCTGGACCCAAGCAGAACCCTGCAGCCTGGCCTGCCACACCCACCTCCGGCGGGCCCCGAACGGACTCCAGCAGCAGCGCCATGAGGGGCTGGTAGCACCGGGAGGGCAGCACGCGGTCCTCGGCCAGCCGCACCTTCAGCCGCAGGGCGCCCAGGCCGCCCCTGGCGGAGAGATCGCGGGAGATCAGCAGGTGTGAGCACGGGGTGAGGCATGGGTGGCAGGTGTGAGCAGGTGTGGCGCACACCAAGGGACCAGGAGGACGGGCAGACACCCACTGGGTAACAGGTGTGGCCGGCGTGGAGAGACGAGGCTGTGTCGGTAAATGTGTGTGAAAAAGGTAAGTGTGACTCTGGGCAGGTGTGCAAGGTGTGAACTGACGCTCACAGGTACAGGCAGGAACGCAGACTTGGACAGTGTGACCCGTGCCATTAAGCATAGGGACAGGTGGGAACAGGTGTGGGAGGGCCCGGGATTTGGGACACACGAGTGTGCACCAGCGGGAGGGAAAGAGTGACCTCACTCGGGTGCGCGTGAACACACGGGAGAGGCACCCCCAGGCTCCTTTGAGGGGGAGGGAGATGGACAAACCGAGCAGCCAATGACGCTCCTTTGAGGGGGCGGGTGATGGACCACGAGCAGCCAGTGACACTGGGCGGGGACCCCGAAGCCCCGCCCCCAGGGCGCCAGACCGCCCCTCCCTCCGCACCCAAATTACCCAGAATCCTCCTCGGCTCTGGGGAAGGGATGCAAGCGGAACCAGCCGTTGGGCGGCTTGTGCTGCAGGATCTGCGGGGAGAACTCCACCTGCCCGGGGACACAGCCACTCAGCCTGGCTGGCCCAGCCCCGTGCTGCCCCCCGGGGGGGAGCTCAGGCTGCCCACCCACAGCGGCTGGCATGGCCTGCCAAGGAGGCCACCTCCTCCCTGCAGGCCCTGTCCTCTCCTGAGGACACTTAACGTACAGCCGGGAAACTGAGGCTCAGGAAGGTGGCGTGTTGTACTCAAGGTCACACAGCGCTACTGACGGGATGCGGGGACTGGGAATATTCTCAGCTCTGTTTAGGGACGCAGATCGCCCCCATTAAAAGGCTTAACAACTGTCTAGAAGGTCCCCAGACTCCACTCCTTATTTTTAAATGACAGCTTCCTAAACATACGATTCACCTGTTTCAAAGGGACAACCCGGTGGGTGCTCACGCGTTCACAGGGTGGTGCGAGCACCGCCACTGATTTTGGAACACTGTCCCTCAGCCCGAGAACCTCTCACCAGCCCCCCTCCTCTCCCTCGGCCCCTTCCTGGGTCTGCAGAACTGCCTGTTCTGGGCATTTCACAGAAGCGGAGTCTGTGAACTGCTGTGGGGACTTCTTCCACCGAATGTCAGTTTCACAGCTCACCCACACTGCAGCATGAACTGTCCTTCATTCATTTTCATGGCTGAGTAATATTCCATGGTGTGGGTTTTCCACCTTTTGTTCACCTGTTGAACATTTGGGCTGTGCCCACTTCCGCCTACTGTAAATAATGCTTGAAGTGTGCATGTAGGAAGAGCTTTGCTTTCCTCTCAGTAGCTATCTACAGGTGGGGTCTAATGGTAACTCTGTCCTTAACAGTTTTAAGGGCCTGCCTGTTGTTTGCCAAGCCACCTGTGCCTCCTGCGGTCACTGTGACCACGCCTCCCTCTTCCCCCTTCCAGTCTCCCTCCTTCATTCACAGCCAAGAGGGGCAGCGGCAGGCACACCCATTTTACAGATAGAGAAAGAGGCGAGGACCTGGGAGTGGAAGCTGGGGAACTCATTTCTGGTTCTGCCACTTTTCCGGGCCTTGGGAAAGCCACTCCGCCTTCCTGAACCTCCCCCGAACTCCCACCACGCGGCTGTCCTAGTGTTCCCTGACCCGCCAGCTGGGCCCATCCTCCTGAGCCCCTCCTGAGCAGGCTCGGCGTGTCTCGCCCCTTGGTCCCCAGAGGCACTAGGGAGCCACAGCGCGTGTCGTAGGCAGAGACGCTCACCATGCCCAGGAAATCGTTCTTGCCCACCATGTCCCAGTCCCAGAGCTCCACGCGCAGCGGGGCCGGGCCCCCCGGCATCTCCCGGAGTTCCAGCACCTCGTCCCAGTGTGGGAAGCGGGTCTTCTTGATGGTCTGGGACAGGGAAGGGTTTGGAAGTGAGGGAGTGGGTGGCGCCCCCTGTCGGGAGCCCCACTCCTGCCACCCTGCTGCCTCTCACCGCGCTCTCCAGGCTCTGGCTGCCCCAGAACACGCGCGCGAATGGATCCGACGTGCCGGAGATGTCTCGGGGGGCCAGGTCCCTGGGACAGAGGAGGCGAGGAGTAAGGGGACGCAGGACCCTCGAGGACCATGGCCTAAGGTGGGCCATGAAAGTGGGCGCCAGGTAGATGGAGCAAATGCCACCGGTTTCCATGGCAACAAGCCAGCCAATCCCAGCACTTGTGGTCAGCTCCTGCGCCCCCATGAGGAGACGCTAGGATCTTCATCTTTCCAGATGTGGAAACTGAGGCACAGAAAGATCAGGCCCAGCAAGTGAGAGTGACACACAGAGGGAAAAGGAAGGCTCGGTTTCCTCCAGAGTCCTGAGGGGGACTAGATGCAAGCTTTCCAAGCCTGGCTCTGCACTGCTTGGCTGGGTGACAGCGGGAAAAGTCACTTTACCTCTCAGCACTTCTGTGTTCTCACCTGAAAAATGGAAATAATACGAGACCAAGCACATGGGACCCAGGGTCAAATGAGATATGGGTGCAAAACACTTGGCACGGCATTTATTCATTCAACAAACATGCATGCCCACACCCTGCTGAGGAACAAAGAGAAGACGTGAGACAGGAAGCCCCTGCTTCTGGTTGCCATGGCAACTCAAAAGCCTCACCCAAGTCAGCTTCCTATGCTTCCTTCTTGAGGCCCCCAAATCCACAGCCACCCCCACCAGCTCCGCCACCAGGGGCTGCTTGCTTCCTCCTCCTGCTCCCTACCCAGACCGGCTCCACATCCAAAGCTTTGGTTTCCTAGGAGCCCCACACAGTTGCTAAGTGACAGCCACCGGTCCCTCTCGGGCTCCTGGGGATGCTGCATGGCCCTGTGACTGGGGAGGGGGCCCCCCAGGCAGAAAGCACGGAGGAGGCAGTGGTCCCCTGCCTCTGTGCCTCTCCCTCTTCCAGGCTCCAGGGAGTCGGGCTGGGGCAGAAATCCAGAGGTGGTGGGAGAGACTCGGGGGCCAAGGAAGGCCTCGGTAGTCACACGCGAGCCAGAAACAGACTCTGCACCAACTTGGCCTTAGCGGTCAGAGAGGAAGGCGGGGAGATGGGAGCAGGAGGAGAGCCAGGGTAGGAGAGGATTCCAGTGATTTCCCGGGGGGCGGCCCTGGGGCCGTCGGGGGCTTTGCTTGTCCTCCATCTACCTTCCTTCCCATTTGCCTTTGGGACAGGACCTACCCTGCCTCACTGCCCACCCCGGGGCTTGTGTCTTTCCCAGACAGTGCAGTGGGGTCAGTGTCATGGACTCCGAAATCACCGTGTGCCCAGATCGAGCCAGCCAGGATGATGACTGTTGGAGCACCCAGTAGATAGGAGGCCAGGCTGGGCCACTAGGCCCACACTGCCCCCACCTGGGGAGAGGCTGCCTAGGAATGAAGCTAAATCAGAAGACAGACTCCAGATGACACCACCACTTGAGCACCTGGATCCAGCCGCGCCTGACACCACCCATCAGTCAAGGGAGCCGGTCCACTAACTCTTCCACTTCAGCCAGGACGGGCTGAGTGCCTGCCCGCTATAATTTGAATAACACACTCCCGGCTCATCAGCCTGGCCATGCCGGGGTTCTGGGAACCGAACAAGACTTTCCTTGTGACTTGTCCCAGGCTCTGGGAAGGTAGTGAGCGTGGACTATGTGCCCCCAGAAGTGTCCCAGGAGTGAGAGTCCCACAGCCAGCAGCAGGAGCAGCACGCGCCCACACCGAGTTCCTGAGACCTACCTGGCCTGCAGCAGGTGGCAGCGAAGGCAGCGGCCCCGAGCGTCCTGCAGCAGCTGTACGGCCAGGCGGACCTCGCCCTGCACCTCGGCATCTGGGTTCACGCGGCTCAGGTTGATCCAGCTGTCGATCCCTGTGGGCACGGGCAGGAGGCATGAGGCGCCTACCGCACACTCACCTGCGTGTAACATGTCCAGAGCACCCAACGCTAAGCACGTTGGTTGGTGGTCTGTGTCAGGGTCTCGCTAGGTTACCCAGGCTGGCTTTGAGTTTTCGATCCTCCCGTTTCAGCCTAGCCAGGCATTGGAATTTGCATGCATGGCCCATGCATGCAACTTTTAATTTTTCATTATTATTTGTAAACCTTTAAAAGTTTAATTTGATTTTTTCTTTTTGCTGTTGTTGCTAAGCTTTCTGGGGATTACATCTTTTGTTTGTAGATATTTGAGTCTTTAGAACCAGGTGTGCTGGTGCACATCCATAATCCCGACACTCCAGAGGACAAGACAGGAGAAAGCCATGAGCTCAGCCTGCGCAATTCGACAGGACCCTGTCTCAAAACAAATACATTCTTTAAAGGGCTGAGATTACAGCTCAGTCCGAAGGCCCTGGGTTCCATCGCCAGGGTCACAATGGATGAATGAACGGTTTTTGAAGCCCCATGTGCCATGATAACAGAAGCCACGAGCCATGAGCCTAGCCTACTGGTGGAGCCTAGCCTACTGCGCCTGGGGACCGTACTCAGGGGGCCCAGGTCCTTGTATGTCTGGTGACAAAGGCACTGGGACACTCAGGACCTCGCTGGGCCGCGGTGAGGACGTCTGAGGATCCTCCCTGGCTGCCCTATCACTGCTGCCGTCCCAGCTCTGCAATCCCATCAGCTCTCTGTCCCTTGATCACCGCATCAGACTCCTGACTGAGCTCCCCCGAACCACTCTGACCCACAGGGACCCTGACCTGCAGTCTCTCGGGTCACGCCCGTGCCCCCCCCCCCAGTACAGATGCTATCACCGCTCCAGGGCCATCGATGGCTCCCCCCCTGCCTCCAGAAGAAACCCAGCCGGGCACAGAGGACGCTCTGCAGTCAACCCCACCAAGGGCTCCGTCTGCCTCTGCCGATGCCCGGCTCGGGAAGAGAACCCACCTCCCCGGAGCCTCCTCCTGGTGCTCTGGGAATCCCTCCTGGACCCGAAGCCCCTCTCACTGCTCCTTACTAGCGTGACTGGGCTGAGCAGTGAAAGACCCACAAGCACGCACGGGCTTCCCGGTCCCATTCTCACCCGCTTTGTTGTGCCCTCTTGAGCCCCTGAACCTCTTTGAGCTGTGCCTGGACCTCATCCACTTAGACCCCCCACCCTTGGGAGCTGTTTATGGACCCCAGAGGCAGCTCAGGGGCCAGGCTTGCAGGCGAGCACCCCCATTTCTGACACATCTGGGACCCAGATGCTGTCCCTGCCGCTGGGAACCAGACATCGCGCCAGCACACACTGCGTGGGACTTTGGGGTCTCCTGTGAAGCCCCTCACACTCGGAGCCCCTGTGAAATAGCAGCAGTTACCATAACGATGCCCAGCACACAGTGGGCATTCAGCTCATTGTCCCCACAGAAACAACAGACCACCTAGTAAAGGGTGCTGAGCCAAACTGCAGACCAAAGTACCAAGGTCCTATCTCAGCCCCACACCTTATATCTGGACATATCCCAATAGGTCAAAGTCTTAAATGTTAAGACATGAAACAAAGGGTTGCTAGGAGGCATCGTGTTAAAAGAAAATTTTCTTCCCCCAGCAGACATGATCTGTAATCCCAGCACCGTGGGAGGCTGAGGCAGGAGGACCACAAGTTTGAACCCAGCCTGGGCAACTTAGCCACTTAGAGACCTTTCCTCAAAAGAAAAAATAACAAAGCATGGAGATAAGCTTGGTTCAATCCCCATAAACTATTTTTTAATTATCTTAATTACATTAATTTTAGAGTTGGAAGATTTTCTTGTTTGGTTTTTGTTTGCTTATCATTTATTTTTTTGACTGCTGGGAGTCAAACCCAGGCTATGTGCGTGCTAGCCAAGCGCTGTTCCGAGACACGCCCTAACTCTAGATCAAGAGTACACACACACACGTTGAAGTCGACTACAAAAAAGAAAAATTACTACATGAAAAAATGACACCTATAATCCCAGCACTTGGGAAGCTGAGGCAGGAGGATCACCATGAATTCGAGGCCAGCCTGCGCTACATAGTGAGTTCAAGGACAGACTAAACTACATAGTGAGGCCTTGTCACAAAAAGTTTAAAAAAAAGAAAAATATATATAAGTGAGGTCAAAATGCAGGAGACAAAGACAAAAATATTTACAGATCACATGACAGGTAACAGGTGACTTTCCCTAACAGGTAAAGAGTCTCTCCAAAGCCATAAGACAAGGCCAACAAGCCTGTGGACAAAAGCACACCTCTAATGTGGACAGAAGTGATCAAAGCAATTCCAAAAGTATTTAAGATTCGGAGCAAGGATCGAGCTCACTCATACTGAGAGCGGAATAAAGCTACACTAAAAAGCGTACTTTGTCTCCCAGGCAGGCTGCAAAGCCTGTAAATTATCTGTCCACAAAGCTGCAGGCTCAGGGGCTCCTGCCTCCTCCCCAAGAAGCCACCCAGCAACACCTAGCGAACGCTCGTCCGCATGCGGCCTCCGAGGCCGACAGAGCTGGCCATGTGAGAGAAATCACACCAGCACCAGGCTATTTGTTGCGACACCATTTGAACTAGGAAAATACTGTAAGCAACCCGAATGCCCAGAGAGGAGCTGGCCCAGTGCCTAACGATACAGCCGCGCTACAGAGTCCCGTGACCTCCTGCAAAGGAGGACTGCAGAAGCCTGCACCGCGCTGGGACGGAAAGACCTCCGAGACTCACGGAGGGGAGGAGGCGAGGCGCACACGGGGAGAACAAGCACACACACACCCGCAGCCTTAACAGCTCACACTCGGGTTCAAATCCTAGCGCTTGTGATCCTGGGGGCAAATCACTTAACCTTCTGTGCGTTAGTTCACCCACCAAAAACTGGGCATCATAAAGGTTCCTGCTTCCTACGGTTTCTATCTATCTATCTATCTATCTATCTATCTATCTATCTATCTATCTCTTTTTGTCTTTTTGAGGCAGGGTCTCACTGTGCAGTTCAGGCTGGCCAAGAACTCACTTTGTAGCCCAGGCTGGTCTTGAACTCACAGCGACCCTCCTGCCTTAGCAGGAGTGCTGAGATTACAGGCGTGCACGCCGCGCCCCGTTACCTCCCAGGGTTTATAGGATACAGTGTCCAGCACTGTTTAAATGTTTGCTGCTCTTCTTAATTTTGCCTGCAAGCATTTCAGATATCTCTAGGGTTGAGTCAGGCGCGGTAGCACCCCCCTCTCACCCCAGCACTCGGAGAGGCTGAGGCAGGAGGATGCAAGTTTGAGCCCAGTGTGGGCAACTGAGCTATCTGGGGAGATCCTGTCTCAAAGTAAAAAAAAATAAAAAGGCCCTGGGTTTGATCAGCAGTGCAGGATGGGGTGAGGGGGCCGGGGAGGAGGGAGAGGGGACATGGAGGAAGGGCAGGAGCCCTTGAAAGGAAGTGTTTCCATGTCCAAGACTCAAGGCAGCTCTGAACTCCGTGCGTGAGGGAGCTGCACGGAGACAGCGGATGACGGAAGGTGCGGAGGAGCAGCACTGCCCCGCCCGCCCGCCCCCCAGCAGCGCCTTACCCACCTCGGGGGTCCGCCGTGATGGCCTCCCTGCTCAGGGAGACCTTGCCGATGACGTCATCGTGCCTGCAGGTGGTGACCGCGGGGCCAGCGTCAGGGGCCTGCCATCCACGGAGCAGAAGGGCGGGGCTGCCGGGTGCTGGGACCTGGCTCCCGCTTCCTCCCGACACTCGGGTGGGGTCCCCGCACGCACCCCACGGTGTCTTCGTCCAGCACGTAGAAGGCCAGGTGGTGGAAGTCCATCGGCAGGTGCACCGTGTACTCCTCTCCCCAGAAGGGGCTCAGGCTGCGCCAGACGGTGGCTGTCCTGCAGGACAGGCCGGGGGACAGGGACCGGACGCCAACATGCTGAGAAGGAGACAGTCACACACACACACCCAGCCACCCGGGGGGCAAGTTCATCCTTTCCCAGGACTGTTTGGCTGAGCATCTGGGTAGGCCTGAGGGTCAGGGAAGGTTTCCTACAAGAGTAGGCCAAGCAGAAGCGAGAGATACAGGAGGGCAAGTGTTCCAGATCCCTGGTGTGGCAAGTGCAAAGGTCCTGAGGCCCTGAGGCAGGAGCAGGCAGCTTCCTTTTCAAAGACCAGAGGCTGACAGTGAGAAGATAGGGGTGGGGCGCAAAAAGGCCAGGATACTCTGAGGCCACTGGAGGCTTTGCAGTAGGCAGCAGGGTAGTCAGAGGAGGGCTGAGGACCCAGTGAGGCCCAGAAGCAGGGGACACACCCATGCACAGCCCCCTGCCTGCCACACCCAGCCCAGGGGCACTCCTGAAGCTTCCTCCCAAACGCCCCTCTGGCCTCCAGCTTTTCCCAACTCTGGCGCCCCTCAGGCTCCCCAGCCCAGAGAGGGGAAGACAGCAGCCTGCACTCACACAGAAATCCATCTGCAGCCTTAGGGCAGTGCCACAGAAGGCAGTAGGGGCCACAGCCTGAGCACAAGGAGGGGACGGCGGGGCGCCTCAGCCAGCCCCTCCCCGGTGCAAGCAGCCACCCCCAGCTCCCCGCCCATCTGGACCAGAACCAGCGCTAGGAGCATCCTGAATCCTGCCGTCTCCATAGGAACCAAGGCCTCTGCTGCCCGCCCACCCCACCCCCATGCCTGCGGGGGCGAGCGCTGTCCCCTGGCCTGTGGGGGCGAGAGACTGGTCCACAGGCCACACAGCCTCCTGCGTTCACACGGGCACCCGTGTGCCTAAACACACACACACACATGCACATACACACACATGCACACACACACACATGCAACTGGTGCACGCACACCAAGCCCCACAGGCCTGCGCACCCACCAGAGCACACACGTGTGGCCACCAGCATCCACGCCAGCCCTACAGCCCCCACGCAGCCTCACGAGCAGGCCCAGCTGGCCACACGTGCACACAGGCACACACTTAGCACCCGCAGCACCCGGCAGGCCCGGAACCAGCCCGGCCAGCCAAGCGTGAGGTGCCCGCCCCCAGGGAGGCCACCGTGGGAGGCGCAGGCTGGCAGCGGCTGAGTCAGCCCATGGCAGGGACATGGCAGGGCCATCCTGCGTCCAGAGAGGGGTTGGATGGGGAGAGCAGGCAGCGCCCCAGTGGTCAGGTCAGAGTGGCTGGGACACAGCCACCACTTGTAGGCCCTCGGGTCCCCCTGGGGTAAGCTGTGCCCACCCCCAGCCCCAGGTCCTCTTTAGAGGGTGAGTTCGGTCCCGCTCCCCACCCCCTCCTCACCTGGCCACCACCTCGTCGTCCACCTTCACCAGGCAGTAGGGGTCACTGCTTCCGGACCTGTGGGAAACCTTAGTGTTCATGGGGACGAAGGCTCAGAGAGGGCAGAGGCCCAGCCCAGGGTCACACAGCAAGTGCACCGCAGATGCAGGACTTCAGAGGGCAGCAGCGGAGATGTCACCGGTGGTCCACACAACTCACCTGCAGTGCGCCTGACCTACCCTACGTGTCACACTGGATCTCCGAGGCAGGAGGTCAGGGGCCGGGAGTCCCAGCCAGAAAGCCCACAGTAGCAGCCAGAAAGCCCACGGTAGCAGCCAGGAGCCTGTGCCACCTCCTGGCAGGGCAAGTCCCTTCCTCTCTCTCTGGGCCTCAGTTTCCCTGCTCTGTCAATCAGGCAAAATGTGGACCTACTTCCTAGCACTTGAGGGGTGAAGGGGTGGGTCGTGGGTGCTGGTCCATGAGTGCCTGGTGCCACTCACTGCCCTCTCCAGGGTGGCCCTGCAGGCACAGACCAGGGCATCCGGATCTCCAGACTGAACCACTGAAGGTGAACTGCCTCACCTATGCAACCTGCCAAAGGCTAGCTCGTCACCCCTTCATAATAGTAGTCACCAGCAAATTTGAGAGCTGTCACCAGGCTCTTCATTCAAAACTGAATTCAGGGCCAGGTGTGGTGGTGCACGCCTGTGATCCCAGCACTAGGGAAGCTGAGGCAGGAGGATCGTTGCAAGTTCAAGACCAGCCTGGGCTACAAAGTGAGCTTAAGGCCAGTTTGAACTGCAATAGCATGACTCTATCTCAAAAAGACAAAAACAAATAAAGCAAATAAATAAATCTTTTTTAAAAAAAAAAGACTGAATCCAAAAACCATTTCCAAATGCATCTCATAGGGCCATCCCAACCCGGACAAGTGGCACAGTGGTGGGCTGGGACGGGGGATCACTCAGGCCAGGGAATGTGAGGCCTGCCTGAGCACCGTAGAGAAACCCTGTCTCGGTAAACAAATAAAAGGTAGATGCAGACTCCAGAGCACCCCTGAGCCATCTTGCTGCCTATTTCTCTATGTGTTTCGTTGCCACCTCCTGCCTCCCCACAACTCACAAGCTGTGAGCTCTTGGGGGAGAGCCAGTCCCCCCCACCCCGGCCTAGAGCGGTCCCCGCAGAGATCTTGCTGAATGAACAGATGGATGGGTTCCCACCCAGGTCTGCGGGCTCACAGCCAGCATCCCCTCTGCCCCCTCCGACGGCCTCTCCTCCACCCCAGCTCTGCCTCTCTCTCTCTCTGCCTCGCTCTTTCTCACTGCCAACCCCCTCTCCGTTCAGCCCGTTACAGATGCACAGATGTCCCAGGAATTCCAGGGAACAGTCAGCACTAAGGGCTGGCCTCCAGCCCGAGCCTCAGTTTCTCCATCTGGACACCTGCTGCTGGCAATGCCGGGCATCCCTCCCTTGTGAGCTTCCCATCCTTCGTCTCCCCAGCTGGAATCTCAGGTCTTGCTGGCTGGGATCCCACTGGCACAGGGCGGGACAACTCTCTCCACTGCCCCGGCCTGACCCCGGGCCCCTCCTGGGAGCCGAGCCCAGCACGACTCTGGGCTCTGACGCACAGGCTCCTTATCCGGCCCCTATCAGGTAGGGGCGGCGATGGCACTGGCGGCAGGGCCAGCCCCTCCCGACTCCATCTCTCCCTCCTGACTCCTGGCCTCTCCCACGACCCTGCCCCACTCAGCCAGGCACCGGAAAGCAGGTCCCTTGGCCACTATCAGCCTGGACTGGTTTGTGTACAGCAGCATTCAATGCCCAGGCCCTAGCTGTGTGACCTTGGGCAAGTGGCTGTCTCTCTGGTCCGCAGTTTACCAATTTGTAAACTGAGCATTCCAATAATGAGCACTTCCACAAGAAGTGTTATGTGCAGGACCTGTCCATGGCTGGCCTGCAATGGGCTCTGGCCTTTCTCTTAGGACAGGGAAGAAAACACACCCCACGGGAGTCCCCACGGGCACCGAGACCCCAGCACATTCTGAGAAGAGTGATTCTAAAGACGGGAGCTGACAACTAGGGAAACTGAGGCAGAGTGGCTGGATCACCAGTGGGGCATAGTGAGCCCCCTCATCCTGGCTTAGGGGGCGTGGCCCCAGAGCTGGAGGGGAAGGGAGGCCCACACACAGGAACCAGGGGCGCTTCCAAGACCTGCGCAGCTTGCCCCCCCCCCTGCTCAGTGGGTGGGAACCCCCTTTCTGGGCAGGATCCCTTCAGCCTCCAGCAGCTGCCAGGCCCTGCCCCCGACCTCAAGGCCACTGAGGGTCCATAATCTAATTCTCAGGGGCTCCAAGGGGACCCCTCAGAGAGAGGGTGGCAGGGCCCTGTCCAGTTGTCCAGTTTTCTCTGCTTTGATCTCAGGTGCTTGTCTATTTAGGGTAGCTGATGGGGGGATGAGGTCACACTGGCAGCCCCCAACACACACACACAGCTGCAGAGCTGGAGGGTGGTAGAGGCAGGTGACTCCCCACTGGAGCCCCAACCTTGCCCTGGGAAAAGGTCCCAAATCCTACTCCTGCTCAGCTGGACACAGCAACTCCTAACAGCTCCCCCACTGTCATTGGGTTGGACCTGCAGCCCCGATGCAGACCCCAGCCCACGCTGCCACCTGGGAAACCGAGGCTCGGACGAAGCAGGTTCAAGGTCATCCAGTGAACAGCCTCCCGAGGTTCCCACACCTGTCTCAAAAACTGACACCCTCAGCCCCTGCAGGGCTCCCTGCCAAGCAGGAAGGGACCCCCCTTCTGCTGATTCAGCAACTGCTGACTCAGCGCTGGGAGGCAGAACCAGGGACAGGGCTGAGGGCAGCCCAGGGGGTCTTCCTGCCCCATCACTCCTGGCAGGTGTCGGGGCCACTGGGGTAGCTGGTCCCCAAGGGGCTCAGCACCCAGGAAAGCCCAGCCCTGGCTACCAGCTGCAACACCAGGATGCTGGAAGGGGGGGGTCTGGGTCTGAAGGACCCCTTGGGGCCTCCTGGTGACGCTCTGCAAATCTAAAATCAGATGCACGCAGTGTTGAGCCCCATCTGGATCCTGGCCTTTTGGGTGCCTCCCAGGGCTCCCTTGACAGCCCCACACACATACCTGGCCTGGGAACGCCTCACCTGCAGCACCTGCCCGGACCTAGGAAGGGACCCCTCAGCCCTCTCCTCAGCTCCGACAGTATCTAACCTTGGGGGCCCCTCTCTGGCTCTAGAGGACCCCAAGAATGCATCCCCGGAACAAAGACACCCCTACACGGGCGGGTGGGGCGCCAGCTGAGCCAAGTGCCCCCTCCCACCAGGACAGCCCCGCGCGCGGTCTGAGGCCCGGTGAGGGCGGCACTGCGCGGATGCCGTCCCGGGCAGGACCCCGCGCTCCCGCCGATCCCCCCGGTACTCACACGTCCTTGGCGGGCAGTGCCCGGCCTTCCACCACGCGGATGTGCAGGGAGCAGCTCTTGGCCATGGCGCGCGGCCCAAACTTTCCGGGCAGGAGGCGTCCAGGTCCCGAGGCTGGACCCCGGGGCATCTACATGTCACCAGCTGCGAGCCTGGCGCCTTGCCCGGGGCTCCCGGCGCCACCTGTCCGAGCCGAGCCGACGCGCGAGCAGCCGGACGCACGGACGGGAGGTTCGGGGAGGAGCGCAGGTGCCAGGGAGGGGGCGCCCGGCTCCACAGGTAGGCGCGCTCCAGCCGCCGGCGAGGTGCAGACCGGGCTCCGGCCTCGGCGTCTGAGCTCCGAGACCGGCTGGGCGGGCAGGGGGCGGAGGGGAGGCCCGGCGCCTTCCCCCAATCCCGCCTCCCGCGGGGTCCCCCGCCCGCCTGCGCCCCGCGCGCGCCCCCTACCGGCGCCCCGCGGAGAGCCCGGGAAGGGCGGGGCTGGGAGGGCGGGGCTAGTCGTGGTGGGCGGGGCTGGTCGCGGTGGGCGGGGCCTCTGCTGCAAAGACCCAGAGCTTGGCGGCGCCACCCTGGACCTGGACCTCGCGCTTTTGCGCATCGCCGCCGCACCCTGGGCTGGCGCAGCACCGGCGCGGGGAGCCGCCACTCTCGAGATCCACCGTTCCCAGGGGTCCGCTCACCGTCGAGCGCAGAGCTCCAGCACCCTTTTGCGTCGGGTCTTAGTTCCCAATGAACCCCGAGCCGCTTTGGAAGCGCTGCGGGCGGCTTTGCTGGGGGAGGGGCAGGCAGGGTCACGCCGCCACCGCGAGGACCTGGGCGGCCGCGACCCCGGGCGCTGCTCCCACCGGGGCCGTGTGCTCTCTTGCGCCGTTGTCCCCATGTGTGGATCAAGAAACCAAGAGAGAGCCTGAGTCGCAGTCGGTAACCGGCTGCCTTCCTGAGTCTGAGTCCGCGCCGCTGCTGATCAGCTGTGTGGTCTGGGGCGGGCCCTTAACCTCTCTGTGCTTTGCTGGTTTCCGCGAGTCCTCAGTGGGGGTGGCAGGAGGAAATGCAGTGAGGGCCTCGGAATGAGCTTGCCGAGAGTGCTGCTGTGCTGGGCCTTCCACCGGCGGCCTAAACCTTCGCTCCCCTCTCCTGGGAGCCTTCCAGGTCGCCCCCTAGCGCCAGCAGAGATGCCTCGTCCTTCTCCACTCCCGCGTCTCGACTGTGTGCGTTCTTCATGTTTTAAATGAGATAACAGGAGCAGAGCCTGTCCCAGGGTCACACTGACCTGACTCAGTGGGATCAGCTCAGGGCTGGGCAGCGATCGCGGCAGTCGACGCCCTGACTGGCATGACTGGAGTGTCCCGTTGGGCCACCAGGGCAACTCGGTGAGCTTCCAGAAATCTGTCCTGGCCTCCCCAGCCAACACCCAGGCAGGCTGGGGGTTTTCAGAGCCTGGAAGTCTCTCCCAGCTGCTGACTGCCACCCTCAGAGCCTGGATCCACATCCAGGAAGTGGACCTGGCAGACCAGGCCCAGAGGCTTACAAGTACCAGCCAAGTGTGTGGGGGATGGGCCGGGTCAGATCCAGGCCATGGCCGATCGGAGCCTTAGCGGCCCCTGCAGATCTTCCCAAAATATACCCCAGTAGGGTGGTGCACACTTGTAATCTAGAACTCAGGAGGCTGAGGCAGGAGGATCAAAGAGAGTTCAGGGCCAGCCCGAGCTACACACACAGAGATGCGGTCTAAACACAACAGAAAAGTAAATGTCCAGTGCAGACTTGCTATGGAACCTGCACTCCCAGATGGGCCCAGATTCACCCCTTCTGGCTGAAGCCTGTTCCCAGGAGGCTGTAGAAAGCTCCCTCAGGGATCCAGCCCCCCAGATCCCTGGGGCCCTGAGAGACCTGGCCCCAGGACCCTTGGACATCAGCCAAACTGCCACCAGCTTCCTTTGGCTTTTCTAGGGAGGTAAGCAGGAAGCCCCTCCCTGGGCCCCAGGGGGAATGGCCAGGGCTACAACTGCCAGCGGGCTCTAGGGAGCCTGCTCCATCACCTGCCTGTATCCTCAGTCTGACCCACAGTTCGCCCAGGGCACTGGTCACACTGCCTAAATTTTCCACATGGCCCTGCCACTTCCTGTTGTTAACAGAAGCTTTGACCTGAAACTGGCAGGGGGCGGGGTTTTCCTAGGACAGCCCCTCCCAAGGGACCGTGGGGGGGGGCACCAGCCAGGAAGGGGGAGGGGTGCTCATTGTGCACCGAGGTTGTTATAAGGACCGATGGAGAGGGCACCTGGTGTCCATAGTAGGTGCTCAAGAAAAGGTCAGGCCCTGCCCCCTAAGCTCCTTAAAGATGAACCCATGGTCCTCTTCCTGGCAGCCTTCTACACGTGCAGTCTAGGCCCGTGGCCCCAAATAGTGGGTGCTCTATACAGGCTTCAGTAGGGAGTGCCAAGCCTCAGGGTGAAGAGCGCAGGTTTAGGTGAGGCTGCTCTGAGACTGAATCTGGCAGAGACCGCTGTCCTCTGCCAGGTGAGTCCCCTGTCACTGCCCTCAGCGCGCATCCGTGAACCCGGCTTCTCATAGTACCTGATTCCTGAAGTGTATTCAAGCTTGGAATCCAGGAAGCACAGATGTTTATTTAGCACCGCTGGTTTACAGCAAACGCTCACCAAGGGTCTCGCCACTGTGAGATGTCCTGATTCAACAGAGGCTGGGGCCCGGGGACCCGGCTGGGTAGAGCGCCAGGCCCACCCCCAGCTTCTGGGGACAGCTAAAGGGACCCACGACAGTGACAAGTATGGTTCTGGATTGCAGAACGGGAGGACCTGGGGATTTGGGGCCCAGCTGGGAATTGTGATACAGAGATCCCGAGGGCAGGGCCTGAGCCACCCCTGGGGCCTGACTGCCGGGGACTGGCTGAGGCCTGCTTTATCTGACACGCGGGACACTGGGGAGCAGGAGCAGAAAGGACTCCTCATCGTAAGAGAGGCTCAGGCCTGGAGTAAGAGCTGTGAAGGGCGGGTTGAAATGCCGTACAGACCTTCAGTGTAGCAGCTATGCGGTGGACTATTATGTGACTATCAAAAAGGATGGCCTCAGAGAATATTTATACTTATTTATTTTGCAGCGCTGAGAGTCGACAGCTCTGTACAGTGTCGGGCAAGCCCTCTGCTACTGAGCAACATCTCCAGCCCTCAGAGAATACTTCGGAGCTGGAAGACACAGAAAAAGACAAGTGATGGGGTAAAACAGCATATTCCACCATGTGCAGGATAGGGTCCTGCTGCCGTGCAGTATGACTCGCGTGTCTGTGTAACATGCTGATATCTACCTAATGCATACTGAGCACCTACTATATCCTGGGCCGTGGAGACACGGTTAGTCGGTGCCCCAGTCCTGGTCTCCTGGGGCTCTCAGTAGAGAGGGGAGAAAGACAAAAGAAACAGCTAAATAAGGTGCTCTGGGGGAGGGAGGAGGAAGAGGCTGCTGTGGGCTGAGAAAGCCCGGGTGCGGGGTGGAGGACACAACACGGTGCCAGGTGGCTTGTTTAAAATCAGACAGTAGCCCGGGATTTAGCTCAGCAGCATAAACGCCTGCCTGGCAAGCGGGAGGCCGTGAGTTCGATCCCCGGTACCAAAATAAATTAAATAAATAAAATCAGACAGTAAACCCAGTGGGGTGGGCTGCAGTTGTTGTAGGGGCTCCTGGGGAGGCCGAGGCAGGAGGACTGCGCTCCAGCGAAGCCCCCCGCCCCCGCAGGCCCCCTGCCGCCGGCTCCCTGCCCCTTCACACCGCTCTGTGGCCCTGCCCTGCCCCCCCTGTTCCGCGCTGATTTACATGCTCGCTTTATCTCCTAAATGTCAGGGACAATGTCTGATTCATGCCTCACCACCCACACGGCTTGGCACGGGAGACTCCAAACACACCCGCCAGGTGAGGGGCACCGGCTCCCCTCGGGCGGGATGCCAGCCTCTGGGTGCCCATCAGAGCGGGCCGGGAGCCACTTCCTGTCCCCTGGGTGCCAGGGACGGTGGCTTACGCCTCACCCTCCACCCAGTGCCCTGCGCTCCTTGAGCCCCACCCCCCAGGAGGCCGAGCTGGGTCAGGAGCCCTCAGTCTCCCCTCCAGGGAGGGAAGCGCCCGTGTCCCTTCCAGGTCCAGGGTGGAGGGGTGGGGGCAGGCTAGAGGTCCCTGGCTCGGGCTGCAGGTGCGGAGCGTGTCCTCTGTCTCTGGAGCACAAAGCCCCGTTGTGATGGCCGGTGCCCTTTGGGCAGGCAGCCACGGGAGACAGGAGGCGCGGGGAGCAGAGGGAAGGATTGCCAAGCCCCGCTCCTGCAAGGCGGCCGCCAGGGAGGCAAGCCGAGAAGCCCCCTCCTTCCAGGGGGCAGGCACAAGGTGTCCTCCCTCCGCGGCCGGCTTCCTCCTTCCTCCTCCGGGCTCCCCCGGGGCCCGCCCCGCCTTGGAATGGAGAAATAGGAGCAGGGAACCACCGAAGCGAAGCGCCAGGCGGAGGAGGGTTAGGAGGACGGTCGGTATGCCAGGTCCGGGCCGGCCAGGTGTCCAGCTGGCCATGGGCGGCGCTTAGCGCCCCCTGGAGGTGAGTGAGGACAGAGGCTGGCGGGAGCTGGGAGCCGGGCTGGCAGCGTGGCAGGGGCTGCGCCTGCCACTGCAGAGGTCGACAGCATTTAGGGCCCCGGGGGTTCACCTTACTGCAGGAAGCTCGCCTGGGATCCCGGCAGTCAGGAGGCTGAGGCAGGAGGAACCATGAGATGCTGAGGCCAGCGTGGCTACACAAGACTGTGCCTTAAATAAGTAAATATCAAATCATAACCAATGCTGGTGAGGATCTGGGGAAAAGGGAACTCTTCCACACTTGTCAGAGAGTAAGCTAGTGCAGCCACCGTGGAAATCAGAATGGAGAGTCCTTGAAAACACAAAAAGTCACAATTCCCCTTCTAGGTAGCGTCCCGGGTGTCCGTTTTACAGCAGCGCAGCTCCTAATAGCTAAATCCTGGAGGCAGCCTACGTGTCCATCAGCAGGGAAATGGACATGGAAAATGTGGTATTTTAAAAATATTTCTTTAGCCAGGCCTGGTGGCTCATACCTGTAATCCCAGCACTCAGGAGGCTGAGGCAGGAGGATCGTTTCGAGTTCGAGACCAGCCTGGGCTACAAAGTGGGCTGAAGGCCAGCCTGAACCGCACAGCGAGATCCCGTCTCAAAAAGACAAAAAGAAATTTTTTTTAAAGGGGACTTCATACATAATGTGAAAATAAAAACCCAGCAGAACGAGTCTTTGATGTGAGTGAGACTTCTCACCTGGAGTTCATGCTCGGGAAACAGTGCTCTGCCACCTGCTTCCCCACAGAGCTTGACAGCACCCTTTAGGCCACACTGCCTTTCACTCCAGGAGCTGAGTCCGCCTGCAGGCTGAGGGTCAGGCGGACAGCAGGCTTCCCACAGGGCACACTGCTGTGTACATGCCTTGGAGTACTACTCAGCCACGAACAAGGATAACCGGGAGGCATTTGCGGGACGGCAGGTGCATCTTTAGACCCTAATGTAATGAAATAAGTCAGACCCTGGAGCTCAAGTATCGCCTGATTTCTCTTACTTGAGAACTCCGAAGTATAGATGGAGAGCAAAACAGAGCACGGATAATAGGAAATGGGGAGGTGACCTCCTGCAAATGAGGAAAGCAAGATGGAGTGAGGTGGGGGAGGGGATGAGGAGGCTGCAGGCGCCGGATGTACTTCTGCCACCTCCCGGGGGAATGCAATATTGTGTACTACAAACATGACAATGATAAAAATAAATAAATAGAAATGAGAAGCAAGCAAAGGCCAGTCCCCACTGCTTCTCAGCCCCACAACCCCCCTGGGCCTGGCTCTTGTGGGCCCCACCTTTGCCCACCCACCTGTCAATTGCTCCTTTGAGTCCTGCACACCAAATCTACAGAGGCCCAGGCTGGCCTCAAGCTTGCAGCAATCCTCCTGCCTCAGCTTCCTGAGTGCTGGGATGACAGACACCAGGCAGGTTTTGTCCTGTTTGTGGATGTAGCTCAATACCCACCACTGTGCCTGGCTTATAGTAGATGCTCAATAAAACTTTGCAAACAGCACCTCACAAAGAGCAGAAATCGAATAAGGGGTGGTAGCACAGATCTGTAGTCCCAGCACTCAGGGGGCTGAGGCAAGAGGGTTGCCAGAGCTTTGAGGCCAGCCTCGGCCCTAGAGAGACCTTCTGTCAAAAGAAAAAATAGAAAAGAAAAAGAGAAATCAAGAAGGGAGGGATACACGCCAGCTTCAAATGACAGCCTCCTCTGGGAGGAGAAGGAAGGGAACCAGCCCGCAGAGGGGAAGACCCAGGACTCCAGGGCCAGCTGTGTCTGAGGGCTGTGGTTAAAAGGGTAAATGTTGAACCAGGCGTGGTGGCGCACACCTGTCATCCCAGCACTCAGGAAGCTGAGGCAGGAGGGTCGCTGCGAGCTTGAGGCCAGCCTGGGCTACACAGCAAGACCCTGTATCAGTAAGAAAAGGGCAAACATTGTGATCAGATGACCCGAGTTCAAGTCCCGCTCTGCCCTTAATACTAAAAAGACCGTGCACACAGGAAAAAGCAGAAAAGTGGACCTCATCAAAGTTAAAGTGTTGCTTTGGAAAAGCCTGGGTGAGGAAGGAAACGCCAATGGAAATTGGAGTGAGGAAAATCTCCAGTCCTGGTGAGGATGCGGAGAAAGGGGAACTCATATACCCTCAGCAGGATGCAATCGGGGCAGCTGGCATGGAAACAGTCTGGGGGTTCCTCAGAAAACCAAAAAATAGACTGACGTCCAAAATGGGAGCCAGAGGGTCCAAAAGACATCTGCACACCCACGTTTATCTGGCTCTGTTCACAGCAACCGAGGTAGGGAGCAGCCTAGCATCAGCAGGTGAATGTATGAGGCGAATGTAGGGCTGGGTGGTGCAGGCCTGTAATCCCAGCACCCGGGAGGCTGAGGCAGGAGGGTTGCTGCAAGTTCGAGGCCAGCCTGGGCTACATAGCAAGACCCTGTCTCTCAAAAAAAGAAAAAATAAAGAAAATGTAGTGCAAATACACGGTGGAAGACTTTACAGCTCTAAAAAGAATGGAGTCCTGCCTTCTGTCAAAACATAGGTGAGCTTAAATAAAGAAGCCAGGCCAAGAGAGACAGATGCTGTGTCCTCACTCATGTTGAGAGGCTAAAAAGTTGATCCCATTAAGCTGAGGATTTAGCTCAGCAGCATAAGCGCCTGCCTTGCAAGCTCGAGGTTGTGAGTTTGATCCCCGGTACCAGAAAAAAAAAAAAGTTGATTCTGTTGAGCTAAAGAGTACTACAGAGGTCACCAGTGTGGAGCAGAGGCTGAGGCAGAGGAGGAAGATGGAGAGGAACCAGTGAGTCAGCACAAGGATCCAGTTGGGCCAGAGGAGTAAGCTCAGTCACTCCGGAGCCCAGGAGGTGACTGTAATTAACAATAATGTTTTCTGGAGCTGGCTGTGATGGTGCCTGCCTGTAATCTTAGCACATGGGAGGCTGAGGCAGAAAGATTGTTGTGAGTTCAAGACCAGCCTAGACTACAAAGTGAACGCAAAACCATCCTGAACTGCAAGTGAGACTGTCTCAAAAAGTAAAAAAAAAAAAAAGTGGTATTTTATGCTAATAGAGTACTACTCAGCCATAAAGAAGGATACATTGGACACTTTTATAGGTAAACAGATGCAACTTGAGACCATACTCATTTATGAACCCTAGAACCCCAGAAACTGGGATGAGAAACAGCTGCTGTGAAAACTCGTTTGTAGGATTTGAGACAGAAAAAGAAAGAAAATCCATTTGCAGTGTTTTATACAGTGGAATACACACTTGTCCATGACCCAGCCATTCTGCTCCTAAATATTTACACAAGTGACAGGAAAAACTTTGTTCTCACAAAACCTGGACTACGCGGCTGGATCTGCTTTTGGCCAGCACTGGAAGTGACCAGCTGCTCTCCTTGGGAGGAGCTGTGGGAGCCACGAAGCTGATCACACGTGCAGGGCTGTGGCACGGCCTGGGCATGGCTGGACTGAGGACGAGGAGACGCCTCAGGGGGCAGGATGGGCCACAGCTAGGCCACCTGGAGACTTTCTGGATCGTTCTCCTTAATTAGCATCATCTGTTGCTTTGAGGGGTCCTAAACACCTCCCCAGGTGCTGCTCGGGTGTCCTCCATCGTCCACTCAACTTTTTGCTTGTTCTGGTTAAATATGGGCTGCCCAGGGTCAGTCGGCCACCGGCTAGCAGAGCTAGGAGCTCTGCGAGGATCTCACAGCCCCAGAGCCCTAAGCCTGTGCTGTGTGTCTCATTCCCTGAGCCTTTGCTGTGTACCCATTTGGGGTTTTGGGGTCCAGGCACAGACCCCAACAGGAAGTGAACTAACAAACTGTTGAATACGGAACCCATGATACAAATACTACTGGGCCCTGAAACAGAGTACCTGTGGATCCTCGCAGTCGCTGGGCAAGCCTCTAACAGCAGACTGCGCGGGCTGCCAAGTACATAATCCGGCCCGGTGGCTTCTGGACATGGCAAAGCTATGCAAGATGACAAGCGGCTTGCTGGACGCAGGTGTCAAGGCTACAGACGGGCACAGGACCTCCTGACCGCAGGGGTGATCATGTCCTTCTACGCAATCCGCAGAACCCCACATGAAAACGGCAACACCCCTTAGACGTGCGCTGTAGCCCCACTTTTTAAATTAAGAACAATGAATTAATTCATGGGTCTTATTGTAACTTCGCACCCCTGCTGGGTGGTCTTGCATTAAATTAGATGTTAAGCGCTGCGTGCGGGCGTTGCCGGCTGACCCTCCCTCGGCGACAGCTGGATGGGCCGCATCTCCACCCGCCCCAAGCCCAGACACAGCTGCCTTCTAGCGGTCTCCACCAGGGGGCACTGGTGGTCGCCCTTTCCTGACACAGACGCAGGGGCCAGGGGCGCCCCTCACCAGCGCAGGGGGTGGAACCTCAGCGGGCTGGGGCGCATTAGGTGCCTTTCCTGGAAGTGAATGACAGCACCCAACCCCGCAAACAGCAGGTGCCCAGTTCCTATCCTTTTTTTGTTGTTCTCTTCTTTTTCTCCCCTCTCCCCTCCCCCTCCACCTTCCCTCCCTCTCCCACCCCTCCCCCTCCACTCCCACCCCTCCCCCGCCCCGTCCCTTCCTGCACTAGCCCCTCCCCTTCCTCTCTCTCCTCCCCTCCCCTTTTTTCTCCCCTCCCCCTCCGCACTCCTCCCCTGCCCTCCCTTCCCTTCTGTTCAGTGCTGGGCATTGAACTCAGGGCCTTGCACATGCCAGGCAAGCGCTGTACCCCGTGCTACATCACAGCCCTAGAGCACCTTTTGAGTGGCTGCGCACACAGACACATTAGTGAGCCCCGACCCCCCACCCCCACCCCGCCCCAAGCCAGGAAGAGCCTTGGCCCTGGGAGGGCACCCAGGGAGGCAAGTCCTGGCCTGGGACCCCTGCGCTCTCTGCCACACCCAGATCTCCAGGGGCTTAGCGGGCGGCTGTCCTGACCCCTCCCTCCTCCTGGGGTGGACCTCCCCACCTGCAGCCTGGCCAGGGAATGTTGCGCTGTTGGTTGCCCGGGCAACTGGGGCTGCGCACGCTGGGCCGCTGCCTTCTGGGAGCCCGAGCTGGCGGCTGCGTCCTGGGCCCCCAGGGCCTCCCCACTTTGGCAAAGCTGCAGCGGGGGGCAACTGCAGGGTCCATGGCGGTGCCCTGCGGGGAGCATTTCCGACTGGCCCGGCGAGAGAAACTGCCGTAAGCGGGACGGGAAGGAAAGGGGCAGGAGCGGGCGAGATCGCCCATCCCTGAGCGCTGAGCCCCTGGCCTCTCCCCAGGTGGACAGTTAACCGGCTCTCCATTGGCCCCCAGGGGAGCCTCCCTCCCTCCTACCGTCCTGGTCAGAAGCTCATGATCCCCCCAACCAGAGGGGTTCCCCTGCTCCAGAGCCTCCCTGGCTCCCACCTCCCTCAGGGTGAGGGGCACACCCGCTCTGCCCCCAGCTGCATGGCTCCCCTCCCTTCTGGCTCTCTCTGTGCAGCAAGCTGGCCTTGCTATTGGCCGGCCCTGGTCCCCCCGCGAAGAACTGGAGAGCTTGGTCTGTCTCCTCTCCCAGTGTCACCCAGACTTCCCAACTTCTGGTCTGATAATCTCAAGGTCCTTGGCTACATTTTTCATTTTAGCACTTGCCATGCCCTGGCATCAGTGTCAGCATCATCATCTCCATTATTATTCTTTTGGGGTTTTGAGACATGGTCTTGTTGCCTAGTCCGTGCTAGTCTCATACTCTTGGGAGCTCTCCTGCTTCAGCCTCCTGTGTGCTTCCAGGCATGCGCAGAATGGCAGTTCCTGCCTCATTGAAGGGGTGAAGGATTCTCTAGCCGCTGGTGGTGTCCTTCACCTCGGCTTCCTTCTCAGCCTCTCTAGGAAGACTCAGGAGCAGAGAATGGACCACTTCCCACCCATTCTGCGGCTCCTGGAGAAGAGACAGGAGCTGGTGGATGTGGACCGAGGTCTGCAGGCCCAGCAGAAGGTGAGCCCTCGCCATCAGACCTATTCGGTGGGAATCCCTGAGACCCGTTGTTAGTGCAAATACATTTGTGTGTACTGAGCAGCTATTATGTGCTGGATACTGCGGGTCTCACCACGGTCCCTGTTCACATGGGGCTCCCAGTTTAGAAGAGCAAACAGACAAATATCCAAGTGGAGACTTCTATGAGGGTGCTGGGCAGGGGTTGTGGGAGCCCAGGTGGGCGTGGTTTAGGAGGACTTCCTGGAGCAAGTGAGGGTTTAGCAAGATCTAATCTCAAAATATAAAAAAGAAAAAGACTCGGGATGCAGCTCAGTGTGAGGACCCCAGGTTCGGTCCCCAGCCGGAGAGCATCAGGGCTTCCTCCTGGAGTGGTGGGAACCATGGTTGGATCTGGGCAGCCGAGTTTCCACAGGATCCGGCGCGATGGATAGGAGGGACTAAGGACAACCGGAAAGCCCCTGGGGGCCTGAGCCCTCCGCCTGGCACAGACATCCGGCTCCTCACCCCCAGGAGTTCCACACCACCATGGCAGCCCTGCGGCACCGCTGGGCGCAGCTGGAGCAGAAAGAGCAGGAGCTGAGGGCGTCCCTGGGCCGCTTCGACAAGTTCCTGCAGGTGATGGACAGCACAAGGAGCAGCCTGGAACCGGCGACTTAGTGCCTTGAGTGCCCCAGAGCGCAGGAATGAAAGCAGCGGGCTTAAGACATTATGGGGGGGGGGGAGGTGGCGGCAGCGCCCGGACTGGGCCTGGGATCTGAGATCTGGACCGCTTGAGACCTGCAGTTCAGGGCCCAGGGCTCCAGGGCGCACGAGTCCTCCCCAGGCCCCTTCTGCGCGTCCCCGTCCCCAGGACGCAGAGGCCCGGCGCGGCCGCGTGCTGCAGAGGGCGGAGGAGGAGCGGGAGCGCGCAGGCCGGCGGGAGGCCGAGGCGCAGCGGCTGCGCGCCCAGCTGGAGGACCTGCGGCGGGAGCGCGCGCGGCTGCAGCGCAGGCTGGAGCGCCTAGACCCCTGCGCGCGCCTGCTGGAGCGCGCGCTGGAGCAGCTGCCAGAGGTGAGCTGTGTGCGGTTGGGCCTCTGGGGCGACTTTGGGCACTAACGGAGCGCTGATTGTAAGCAAGATCGTCAGTCACTGATCGCTCAGACTGTGCCGGGGGCGTGCGCTTGTGTATCTTTTCTTCTGCGGCGGGGGTGGAACTAGGGGCTTGAGCATGCAGGACAAGCGCTCCGCCTCTGAGCTCCACCAGCACTTTTTAGTTTATTCTGAGACTGGGTCTCGCCAAACTGCCCAAGCTGGGATAGAATTTATGATCCTCCTGCCTCAGCGTCATGAGTAGCTGGAATTACGTTGATGGCGACTGCCATGCAGTGCCCTTGAATCCTAGTGTAAAAAATGAGTCCCACTAATATCTACACCGTTTACAAAGCCAAAAAGAGGTTTCAGAAAGCTCTTAGTCAAGATCATGCTATTGGGCAGGCATGCGTGCGTGCGTGCGTGCGCGCGCGCGCGCGCGCGCGTGTGTGTGTATCTGTGTGTGTGTGTGTGTGTGTGTGTGTGTGTAGACAATAATGACTCCAGAACTCTGGGAGGCTGAGGCAGGAGGACTGCAAATTCCAGACCAGCCTGGGCGTTTTAGCAAGAGCTAGTCTCACAGTGGGGGTTGGGCTGGGGAAAGGGCTCCCGTCTGTAATCCCAGCGCTCAGGAGGCTGAGGCAGCAGGATGTCGGAGAGTTCGAGACCAAACTGGGCCACACACTGAGTTCAAGGCCAGCCCGAACTGCATAGAGAGGTCCTGTCTCAGAATGAACAAATAAAAGGGGCGGGGCTAGAGACTGTTCAGGGCAACGGGGTTCACCTCCCAATACGATCAGTATTATGAACAGAAGGAACACACAGTGGATTAGTATTCACCGCAGGCAACGGTTCATTAACCGGCTTCTCGGTGGGTTGCAGAGGGTGGGAACAGCCCTCCTGGCCCACGGCTCCCGCTGTTCCCGCTTCTGTGTCGCGCGATGAGGTGACCCCCTTTCACAGGTGGGAAGGGGAGGCGAGCGACTGCGGACCCACGCGAGTGCCCTGCGCCCCGCCCCAGTTCCAGGAGGTCCCCGAGCTGGTGGCGCGCTTCCAGGGCCTGGCGGACACGCGGGCCGCGCTGCTGCGGGCGGAGCGCGGGCGGCGGGCGGAGCTGGAGGAGGCGCGCGCGGCGCTGCAGCGGCTGCGGGACGCGGGGCAGGACGAGCTGCTGGCGCTGAGCCGGCGGCGCGCGGAGCTGCAGGAGCGGCTGGAGGCGGCGCGGGAGCGCAGGCTGCAGTGGGTACGGCCCGCGGGGTGGCGGCGCCAGGGAGAGAGCCCGGGGCGCCCTGCGAGCTGCGCGGCGGTGCCTGCTCCTCGACCCCGAGGGCACCTGGGTGGGTGGCGAGGAAGCGCGGAGTGACCGGGAGCCGGGCGGGTGCGCTTCTCCAGGAATCCAAGTGGACTCAGATCCAGAGCACCGCGGCAGAGAAGACCCTGCTCCTGGGGCGCGTCAGGATGTCTGCGCTCAACCTGTCCCAGCTAGTGAGCCAGCACCAGCCGCAGCCGCCCGCCCTGGACGTGGAGGACACGGAGGGACAGCTGGAGCAGGTGAGGCCCCCTCTTCGTGTCCCCCGGGGCCCAGTCGCTCCGTCTTTGAAAATATCGAGGTGCTTTGGAGACCCCGCCATCGGCGGCAAGGTCTGCGGGCTAAGCTTGGGCAGAGCCCCAGGAACCCAGCCAGGGCATCCTCTTTCATCTGGGCTCTCTCGGTCATCATTTGTGTGGCCAGAAGAAAGCTGTGTCCCTCGGAACCAGGTGTGGTGGCACACGCCTGTAATTCCAGCACTTGGGAGGCTGAGGCGGGAGGATTGCAAGTTTGAGCCCTAAGCTGGGCAGTTTAGCAACTTGGTGAGCCCCTGTCTCAAAATAAAAAATAAAAAGGGTAGCCAGGTGTGGTGGCCCATGCCTGTATCCCAGCACTGGGGAGGCTGAGGCAGGAGGATTGCTGCGAGTTTGAAGCCAGCCTGGGCCTGTCCAAAAAAAAAAAAAAAAAAAACCTGGGCTGGGCTGGGGGTGTAGTTTAGGGCATCCCTGGGCTCAATTCCAGTGCTTTGGAGGGGGAGGAAGCTGAGCCCTTTTGGGGCTCTATGAACTCTTTCGAAAAGTCCCTTTCTTCCAGGAACAAACTACACACTGGTGACATTATTAAGACCCCAAAAGGTGTACAGTCACTTCTTTTGGTACCAGGAATCGAACTCAGGGCCTTGTGCTTGCCAGTGAGGCGCTGTGCCACTGAGCTATATCCCTGGCCCCCTATGGTCACTTTTTAATTCATCTCTGACCCTTCGCTCCCGATTTCCCAAGGGAGGAGAAGGGGGACTGAAGGGGGAGAGAGAGAGCAGGCTTGGGGGGTCCAGGCACATGGTATAGGGGCTGGGCTGCAGGGGAGGGGGTGGCTGCAGACTCCAGGCTCTTCCCTTGGTGTTTTCTGTGGGTGCCCAAAGAGAACGGGAAGGGGAGGTCTCTCTCGGGAGCCCATCCAGCTTGCCCCATCGGCCTGAGCCATCTCCTGCTTGGTTAGGTTGATGGCTGCCACTGACCTCCCAAGAGGGCCCTGCGGGACTCTCACCAGCTCTAGAAAGGTTTCAGGGACTTCGGACCACAAAATTAGGCCCTTTTCCCGCGGCCCCCGATCCTCCCAAGGAGCCTCGGTGGAGGCTTCTGCACCTTCACCCTGACCCCGACTCCTGTCTCCGGGCTGCGACTCGTCCTGTCCCACAGCCCTGGGAGGAGCGGGGTTATTACTTGTCCAGTGACTTCCACCGTGACAGGAGGTAACTTTCTTCTTTCCCTTCTTAGAGACTTAGGTGACAAATGTGAAGGGGGCCCCAGGTGGCCCTGAGTTGGCCATCAAGGTCTAGTAGTTCCTGGCCTTGGACCCAGAGCCTTCACTAAGCGGGTGTCGTTCAGCCCACGTCAGTAGTGAATGATGAGCTGGGTGCAGTGTCTCTGTAATCGCAGCTATTCAGGAGGCCGAGGCGGGAGCACTGCCAAGTTCAAGGACAGCCTGGGCAGCTCAGTGACTTCAGGAGACCCTGTAGAAGGGCTGGAGATGTAGCTCAGTGTGAAGATACTGGGTTCAAATCTCCAGTTTTAATTAAAGCACAAGACAGGGTCACTGTGATGAGCAGGTGATGAATCAGTGACTGTGCCCCATTCAGTCAAGATTCCTGAGGCAGGGAGACACTTCAGCTGGGGACCAGACCCCCTGGAGCTCTGGGTCCGTGTCTGGGAACCAGTGACATCACTGGGGCTCCCTTGCTGGACTCCTACACCCCCTTGCCCTGCCTCGACCTCTGCGGGGTGATGGGGTGGGGCTGGCCACAGTTGGGGACCAGGATGTGACTGGCTGTGTGTCCCCAGGTGAAACTGTTCATCCTCGACCTCTCAGCCATGCTGGCCAGCATCCCCCAGGCTGAGCGCAGGGCTTCTGGCCCCAGTCAGCCACAGTGAACAGTGGGGTGCCCTGCACTTCCGGTGGGGTGCAGGTTGCAGTTGCCCTGGACGTGTTTTCATCAGGAAGATGAGCTGTGCCTGCCCATGCTGCTGTGGGACCTACAGAGGGGTGCACACAGGCACCCCATAAATGCCTGCACCTGTTTGACCTGGGAACAAGAGAGGGTGTGGATTCCTCCAGGACTCAGGGACAGCCCCATGGAGAGCTCTAGCACGGTGCTGGACAGGCAGAGGGGTGGAGCCCAGAGGAGGTTTGTGGGTGCCTGGTCGCCAGCCACTGTGGGGACTCTGCTGGGGGATGGGCCTACCCCAAGGCCCAGCTGCTGGGACAACTCTGACCTAACCTGAAGAGCGACACAGGCCACAAGGACCCCAATGGAGCCCACCCTCAGGGGCCCCAGGTGATGCTGGAGGGAACCACTCAAATAAGACTCTGTACTCCTGGTCCACCAGAGATACTCAATAAAGGCTTATTAAAATCCTGTCATCGAACCTGAAGCACTCAGGGCTCAGACCACGTGGCCAAGAACTGTGAACCCAGAACGCGTGGAAGCAGCAGCAACCAAACTGCCAACTCTGGACTTGCTTAGCTTGGCTGGCGAACTCCTACACACCCTTCAAGACCCTGCTCAAATGTCTGTGTGGGCAGAGGCAGCTGCTGCCTTCTATGGCTGCACGGGGCTCCTTTCCAGGATGCAGGGGCTCTCCCAGTAGTACGTGGGGAGATGGCTGCTGAGGTCCAGACAGTTCAGGAAAGCAGCCTCGGGGCCCAGCCCTGGTTTTCACATCCTCTTCCTCATCTTGCCCTTTTTAGAGGGGGCGCCCCGGCCAAAGGCGCCCCGCTGCAGCTCCTGGGCCCGGCGGCGGTTGCGGGCAGACAGCTGCTTGAGGCCGCCACGCTGCAGGAAGCGCAGCTTCTGGGCCCGCCGTCGCTGCTTCAGGATCTGCTGCTTGGTCTTGAGCTCAGAGCGAACACGGCCCGCGGCAGTTCCGGGGGCGCGGGGCTGGGACGCACCTGCAGGGACAGGGGTGCAGGAGCTCAGCTTCAGGCCCGGTGGGGGGACCTCCAAGTACCTCCCCACCCCGCTTCCACCCTGTGCTGGCTGCTGTGGCCCTTAGTGAGGACAGAAGAGAGGAAAGGCGGGAAGGCAGGCCGAAGGGCAGGGGCGGTGGGAGGGCGCCTCCTGGCCCGGGCTCAGGGAGCGCAGGACATGGTCCCAAGTGCTGCCCTCCCCAGGAGGTGGCCGGTGTCTGGCTCCGCTCCCACCGCACTATGGGCATTCACGGTCTTCCAGGGCACAGCCTGTCCCACCCTGCAGGGGGTAGCCCTCGGGTAGGGGTGTGGGCGGACAGGGTGGGGCTCTGACAATGACCGCTGACCTGACGGGCGGCTGTGCACTGCCCTGCCCTTCTGCGCCTGCACCAGCTCGCCCCGCCCACTCGCACACCCACATCCCCCAGCGTCCGGCTCACCTGGCCCACGCCCTCGCTTCCCACCTCTCCGAGGTGGGCCTCCCCGGTCAGAGGGTCCTTCCTCCTCCGAGTCTCGATCCTCGATTTTCTGTTTCTGTTTCCACTTCTGGTAGCTGGGGAGCCCCGTTAAGGAAGGTCACACACCCCCGCGCCTGGGCCCCGCCCCCCAGCAAACCCAGGCTCCTCATTGGCGCTGAGGAAGCCGCCCGCCCCGCCCCTCTCTGCAGGTCCCGCCTCTGGATACAGGTCCCGCTTGTAGGAGCTGCTGACGTAGCAGCCGCTCTCAGTCTTGATCTTCTTCTTGTCCTCCTGTCCGGACTGTCCCACAAACCGCTTCTTCTTCCGGTCCCTGCGGGAGAGGGAGTTGGGGCCGGTGGCCGGCTTCTCACCTGCCCCTTGCATGTGCCTGCATGCAGCAGGCGCTTAGTAAAGGCCAGCTGTTCCCTGCTTCTGCTCCCCACTGCCCGGCGGCCGGCCGGGCTCACGAGGGAACCTGGGGTCGGGGATAAGGGACTGGAGGGTTCGATCCCCGCCCGCATTACCCGCTGTGACCCACGTGGGATCACGAAGCCAGCTGCAAAACCAGTTGGCCAAAGGACACACGGGGTAATGAGCCTGTCGTGTATGGCCAGATCAAGGGGCCAGGAGGGCGGGGAGGGGTCAGCACGGCTGCGGAGTGGCAGCACCGGGAGGGGGCGCACAGGCAGGTCGCTCACCACTTGAGCTGCTGCCGGCTCCGGGTCAGGTTCTGCGCCTCGTCCCCCATCAGGTCCAGGACGGCGCCGGCCACCTGCTGCTCGAAGGCCCCAGTAGCACCCCCGACGCTCAGGCTGTGGACAGAGGGCAGGAGGTACAGGGGGGCTGATGGAGCCCAGAAGCCTGGCCAGTTCCCCAGGGGCCACTGGCCACTCACCCCTGTTCACTGTCAAAGTCTTTGGGCCGGTAGGGGACATAGAATTCCTGGTCCCTCCGCCGGGCCTCCTCCCTCCGTCTCTTGGCTCCTCGGTCAGGGCCTGGCTGCAGCCGCTTCTGGCCTACAACCTCGGTAAAGATGTCCTGGCAGGGGGAGGCCCAGGGTCACACCTGTGGCCCTGAGGGGTCACCTGCCAGCCACACCCAGGCATAGCCAGGGCTGAGGGGCTGGGGGTTTCTGGGCAACTGGACATAGCCTGGCTTTGCTGCTTGTGGCTGGGTGACCAGGCTGCTGTGCGACCTAGGGTCCCTGTCTTCAAGAGAGCAGAGGCAGCCGGATGTCAGCTGCTGTAAGACCCTCGTGAGACTCTCAGCCTGACAAGGCCCCCACTCTGGGCCCATTCATGTCTAGGTCTCAGCTCTGCTTTCTGGCTATGGAACATAGGTCTGAGACACTGGTGGAGGTGCAGACCTGGGACCCACTCACCTGGTGACTGTCACTTAGGGGCCCTCCAGCCCTACCTCCAGAAACCCAGTGCCTGACGCTGCCACCACACACTGACCACCGCCCACGTCTTTCCTTGGCCCTGGCCCTGGCAGGTCTGGGGACAGTGGTGTGCAGGTCCCCACACTGGGAAAGGAGCTGTCCTCGCTCATGGGAAGCTGCCCAGTCTGTCCATCCCTGGGTTGCTGCAGGGCCCTCGATGTGCTCAGCATCCCAGACCCCACCAAGTGCCGTCTACTTGGTGCCCACTGGGACCCAACCAGCCCCCAGCCCAGTCAGGCTCCCTGGGCCTGCACCTCCACACTCTGTCCTGCGTCCTCCTCCCTCCCCAGCGGCTGCTCCTCCTTCGGCACTGGGCAGGCAGGGGCAGGGGTAGCCGGGCCTTCCTGTCGCTCTTGCTGCCCCCGCTGGAAGCGAGCAATGGCCCTGCCGTCCTTCTGCCGCTTGGCGCGCATCACCTGGCTGCTCAGGTCCCGGCTGGAGGCATTGATCTCGAAGATGGTCTGCAGGGGACACCGGGAACCTCGGCTGCTGGCTCCACGCTCAGCCCCTCACCAGCAGGGTGAGCCTCCCAGGAACCCCACCTGGCACCTCCACCACTGTGGGAGGCGGGCACCTCATGACTAGCAAGGGAGGCCCAGTGAGGCTGGGTAACTTTCCCAAAGGCACACAGCCAGGAAAAGCCGGTGTCTGGGCTTCTACCAGAGCTCATGAGGCTCTGAGATCTGTCCTGGCTTTTGTGCGCCCAGATCCGAATGCACAAATGGGGAGCTCCTGGGAGCCAAGAGAAAAGGAGGGAAAGCCGGGTCTCCAAGCCCAGGGCAGTCAGGCTGCGTGAGCCTCAGTCTACCCTGAGTGGGGGACCTGGCTGCTCCGTAGGGACCTGGGGAGGGGCGCAGTGTCAGCCCGGAACAAGGGGCTGACACGTTCAGGCGGGCGGCCGGGTGGGAGAAGCCCGAGCCTGGGAAGCCCTGCGGGTCGCGCGGCGCAGGGCGCACTCACTGCGCGGGAGCGGTACTGCTTGATGCCGTCCACCAGCCTCAGCCGCTGCAGCTCCGCCTCCTCGAAGCGCGAGCCTGGCGGTGGTGACAGGTGTTCATCAGTGAGGCCGGGCAGGGTGCGTGGGGGCCCCGTGCCTGGCCCACGCGGGACTCACTGAAGAGCGGGTGCAGGCTCAGCCCCGCCAGGTCCAGCTCCTTGGCCCTCTTGATGGACTCGGGCGAGGGCGCTGGCCGCGAGCGCACGTACTGCTGCTGTGCGTTGTCCGCCACGCGGCCCAGGCTCCGCAGCTCCAGGGACGCCTCCAGCGCAGCCCGCAGGCCACTGTCCTCATCGTCCACCACGGTCTGCGGCACCCTGCCCAGCACACCGTCCACACCACCTGCATTTGCCAGAGCCACACATCGGGAGGTGAGGGCCTCTCCTGCCACCGCCCGACACCGCTTCCCTGGTTCCCGGCTGATCACAGGGACCAGTCCAAGTGCCACCACCGAAGCCCAGCCTGGCGACAGCCGTGCTGCTCACTCACGAGCTGGTGGCCCCCAAACTGGCTGTTCCCTCCTGGGGTCAGACCGGGACATGCTGAGCTGTCCCAGCTGCTCGCCCCGCTGGCTCCACAGACCCTGAGGGACCCGGGGCCCTGCACCTGTCCCCACTCACCTGCGGGCTCCTCACTGGGCCGGGCGAGGGTGAGGCTGCGGCCCAGGAACAGGTGCAGGTCCAGCAGGTAGGGGACCTCGTCTGGGGACACCAAGGAGTAGGCTGTGCCGCTTCGGCCGGCCCGGGCCACACGGCCTGCAGGAGACGGTGAGCCTTCAGTACAGGAAGGGGTCCCAGCACGCCAAGAGCTTGGCAGGGTTCTGTCCCCCGGGCTGCTGTTCCCAACTAGGCAAGGCGTCACCTGTGGGAGAGCTCAGGACTCAAAAGTGGTGCTCAACAACGAGGACAAGGCACTGCCCGTAACCAGTAGCCAGTCTGTGGCAGCCCCACCTTTGAGAAAGTCCCCCAAATACTCAAGGACACAGAGAGTCACCCACACAATGGCTCAGGGCAGGCTTGGCTAGGACATTCCCACAATGGACTCCACCAGAAGGCTTAAGGACACAGGGTTGGTCAGGATAGTAACTGACAGCCACAAGGGGGCACTTATCGGCGGGGGGGGGGGAAGGGGAGGGTCAACCTGGCCCCTCTGGCTGTGTCAATAAAGTTTTAGTGCCTTGGCCACATCGGTTCCTCATTTACACGTTCTCCATGGCGGGCGGCGTGGTGGGCAGTTAGGATGGTCAGCAGTACAGCAAAACAAAGATGCCAACCCCTAGCGCCTCGCAGGAAGATGTGCACCCCCACCGCCCTCCCTGTCATATTCAAGAGTGAAAACATTCTTAGCATACGGTGATGCAGGAAAGGGCATGCAATTAGGGTCCCAGCTGCGTTTAGGTGTTTTGATTACTGGGCCATCACATTTCGGCCTGTTTCCCTATCTTTTTTTGGAGACAGGGTCTCACTATGTAGCCCAGGCTGGCCTCCAACTGAGTGACCCTCCTGCCTCAGCCTCCTGACTGCTGGATTACAGGAGGGTGCCATCACGCCAGGGCTATTGCTGTAGTACATGTCGCCACATTTGGAGGTTTCACTGAGTGACTTACAGCATGGTCACTGCAGAACTGCAGGAGCAACTCCTCCGGGACATGCAGAGCCAGTCTCCACAGAGCAGTGGGGACTACGGGACAGGGACGCGGGGCAGACGCCGTCCTGTCTCCCACACAGCCTGACCACAAGGTGCAGGGAGGGGATTTAGACTTTTCCCCAGGGCCACTTCTGGCCTGGCCACCCAAACAAGTTTATTCCACCGGCCAGCGTCACCCACTGCGACCCTGCTTAAACCCCATCGCTCACCACGCTGATAAACACAGGTGATGTAATAAAAACCAGCAAGAATGACAGACTCGGTCAGCGAACCCCCCTCCTCGGGTCACGCCCGCTCCTCCCAGCCTCCGCCACTCTCCGCAGCAGCCCTGGGCTTCTCCCCGCATCTTTAGCTTAGTGGTCCCGGCTGCCTCAGTGTCCTGAATCAACTCAAAATGCTTCCCTTTCACGGTGGTTCCGACCAGCAAGCTGGACGCGGTCATCCCAGCACTCGGGAGGCTGAGACAGGAGGACCAACGTGAGTTCAAGCTTGAACTACAAGCGAGACCCTATCTCAGAAAGAGAGTGGCACACCGAAGGACGAGTGTTCGAGGCCAGGGTGAACTGGGGTTGGTGGCCAAAGGGCAGTGTGCGGCACAGGGGAGCCCGGGCCACGGCTCCTCACCCACGCGGTGCAGGAAGAGCTTGCCCTTGGCGGGGAAGCTGTAGTTGATGACGTTGTCCAGCAGCGGGATGTCCAGCCCTCGGGCGGCCAGGTCGGTGACGATGAGCGCAGAGCACTTGCCGTGCGTGAACCTGGCCAGGTTGATCTTGCGGGCCGTGGGGTCCAGGGCGCTGTAGATGTGCGCGCAGCTTACCCGCTGGGTGCTCAGCAGCTACATGGGGACGTGGGGAGGGGATAAGAGAGACGGAGAGAGAAAGTGGGCCACGGTGGGGTACATGGAGGGCACTGGCTGGAGCACTGAGATGTTCCCGGCTTCCATCCATGGGACCGGCAGGGCTGCCCGAGGGCAGTGAGGCCTCCAGCCATACTGGCCACGGGACACATGGCTGTAATCCCAGCACTGTGGGAGACTGAGGCAGGAGGGTCGAAGGTTTGAGCCCAAACTTAGCCAAGAGCCGTATCTCCAAATTTAAAAATGTTTGGAGCTGCCTGGGACATAACTCAAGGGCAAAGGCCCTAGACTCAACCAGCAGCTCTGCGGAGGTAAGTAAAATAAAGTTCAAAAATTAAAAAATTCCAACGCACTGCAGAACTGAGATGGAAGGGGAGAAGTGCCAGGTGACCGACCCTGTGCACTTAAGCCGGGCCCAGGCCCGCATCCCAGAACGCTGCTGCCCTCTGGTGGCCCCACTCGGAAGCGCAGTGCCAGGCGGGAGCTGGTCCCCACTCACCTCGGAGAGGTACTCACAGTGGTGCTTGGTGGCCACAAACACCACGGTCTGGTCCTGGGGCCGCACCGCGGTGCGCAGCAGATGCAGCAGCACGGCGGCCTTGGCGTCCTCGCGCACCAGGAGGAAGGAGGTCTGCAGGACGGGGGTTGGGGGAGAGTGGTGGGCATTTGGGGTTCAAGGGTGCTGCCCTGGCCCTGGGCTTCCTGGGGACCCCGCCAGGTGCCACCTCACCTTGAGTTGCTCGTTGAGCTTGGCGTCCACGTCCAGCCGGATGAGCACTGGCTCGGTGAGGCCTGTGGTGGGCAGGGGAGGTTGGGGGTGTCACAGAGAGGCGGAAGGAGCCCGGGCCCAGGCTCAGGCTGCCCCGGTGCCCCCTGGCCGCTCACCTGCGCGGGCAAACTCCACCAGCAGCTTGGGCAGCGTGGCGGAGAACAGCACCGTCTGGTGGCCCCCAGGCAGCCGGCTGATGATCTCCTGCAGCTGCTCGGCAAAGCCCATCTCAAAGAGCCTGGGGAGGCGCGGATGGTGGGGTCACCAGGGCTCCTGTGCCCGGCCTCGGTCATCCCCATCAGACACCGTCTGTACAGGCTCCTCACTATGCAGCCAGACTGGCCTGAACCTGTGACTCGCCCGCGTCAGCCTCCCGAGTGCTGGGATTACAAGCGTGTGCCCTGGGCCTGGCTCCATGCTCGGGACACTGTTGTTGCACCTCGAATCTCTTTGGAATCATATGCTCACTGTCCTCTCGATACTCCTAAATACACAATTAAGAACAGCGGAGCCTGCGGCCTCACCTGTCAGCCTCATCAAACACCACGTACTCCACGCTCTGCAGCTTCAGGTTCATCTCCACCGCCACGTGCACCAGCCGCCCCGGGGTGGCGATAATTCTGGAAGGGGCGATGGACCAGACAGGTCACCCCCAGGCCATGGCCACCACCCTCAGCTCCCTGCCCATCTCAGTGGCCATCTGGGAAGAGGCCCCAGGGCACCCTCTCAAGCACAGACTCACATGTCGGGGTTCTCGTGCAGGGCTGCAAACTGGTCCTCCATTCTGGGGAGGAGAAGATGGTCAGCGGGGCAGAGGAGGGCTCTTCCTCACGAATCCCTGCACCCTGTCCCAGGGACACAGACCGAGGGGCAGCTGTGGCCAAGAACTCAGGCCACGGAAGTGAGCGTGGAAGAGCGCAGAGCTCCCCAGAGACAGGTGCCCGGGCCCTGCCCCTGTGTTCCTTAGGGAGTCACCAAGCTGTGACCCAGCTGCCACCCAGCAGCCAGCCCTAGGACTGCAGGCTTCAAACAGAACTCGGGTCCCTCATCTCGGCCTATGTGTAGGGCTCTGGGGACTGCTGCAGGAGCGGGACCCTGCACCAGGTACAACTCAGGCGGTCGAGGCCCCTGATTACACCAAAGGGCTGCAAAGCAAAACCCTCTCTCAGAAGCAAGAGCCGGGTGTGCTGGCGCACACCTGTAATCCTAGCATTTGGGAGGCTGAGGCAGGAGGATCGCCTTGAGTGCAAGCCCAGCCTGGGCTACACAGTGAGTTCAATGTTATGCTCTATGCTTATCGCCCTAGTAACCATGTACCTGGAGCACCGACCACGTTGTTATAAATTTGTTATAAATTAACTCACTGCATCATCATGCTGTTCTGTATGTATCCTTCCTCCCCACCTTAGTAACCTGTTTGCTGTGTCAACTTTTGTTCCCCTTGTGAGAGACAAATGATGCTGTGTCAATCATTGTTTCCTTTATGAGAGACAAATGTTCCTGGAATTGGCAGACCAAGGGCTGTGAACTGCCTCTGACCTCAAGCAAAGGGGAACAAAGGCCCACCCTGTTTGTTTCTCATCACTGTGTATTTAATGATCAATGAACTAATCATAAATGAACTATAAAAATCAGTCAAAATTCTGACTCAGTTGCACAGCTTTGCAAATTCCATCTGCACTGTGTTGCTGGGCCAGCTTAAAAAAAAAAAATTAAAAAAATAAAAAGGGCTTCTTCTTAAAACGACATCGTTTTGCCCCGTTCTTTTTTCATCTCGGGGATCTTGCCCCATTTTTCATCTCGGGGCCTTTTTGGGGAAGTACAACATTCAAAGCCAGCTAAAACTACATAGCAAGACCTTGTCTCAAAAGAATACCCTGCGAGTGACTGTGGGCACCGCCCCAAGAGAAGAGTGAGCCAGCGGCTGCCGGCCAGGGAGGCAGGGAGCCAGGAGCTGGTCCGCCCTGCAGCGCCCATCACTGCAGGCCCGAGTCAGGCCGCTCCTCCAGCCACTGGCCTGCTCCCTCGAGGGACCCTGCAGGCACAGCAGGAAATGACTCTGTGTCTTGTGTTTCTGAAACAGGGCCTCACCAGGTAGCCCAGGCTGGCCTTGAACTCAAGGTCATCCTCCTGCCTCTGCCTCTGGAGTGCTGGGATTAGACACAAGCCTGGCCGAAAGGATCCTCACAGAGGTGAGCTGTATAGACGCTGCCCAGCTCGTGTACCCCTGCTCCCCTTCGGTTTTGGAAGCACTGGGGGTGGTGCCAGGCCGGTTCTCCGCCTCTACTGCCGAGCTGCAGGCCCTGCTCCCTACTTTCTAACGACCCTTGAGGCCCCACATGGCCCAGGATTTGGTCACCCGCAGGGAGCCTCGGGACCTGTCTGGGTCACAGCGCTGCCCTGGCCACTGTGACGCCCCCATGCGCCTCCTGGTTATTTCTTTTGAATGCACAGAGACATTGTCATTACTAACAAGCAACGCAGGCTCCGAGGGGCCAAAGCCCCTGAGAAGCAGGGACCTGAGTGAGGAGGGCAGCTGGATGGTCCGGGGGTGGTCCCTACCTGTCCCCACCCAGGATCAGGGCGGTCTTGAGGCCGGTGAACTTGCCCAGCTGTGGGGGCAGAGAGAGAGAGACAGAGAGTGTTTGTCTGTCAGTCCCTCCCAGTCAGACCCAGTTCCAGGTCCCCCGCCACCCAGGTGCCACCCCGCTATGCACCTCCTTAGTGAACTTCATGGTCTGCAGGGCCAGCTCCCGAGTGGGCGAAAGGACGAGCGCCCGGGCACCGGTCTGGCCACTGCGGGCCTTGAGCCGCTCAAACATGGGGATGAGGAAACACGCCGTCTTGCCGCTGCCAGTCCGCGCCATGGCCACCACATCCTTGCCGTCCAGGATCACCGGGATGGTCTACAGGGACATGGGTGGGTGAACGAGGCGTCTCAGTGCATGGGCAGGGCTGTCACCCAGTCCCAGTCCTATTCCTACAAACAGCTGTTTGCATACCTCCAGGGACGGGCAGCTCACTACCCACAAGCCCTGACACTACTGGAACCCTCTTCTTCTGGGAAAGCCAGACTCTGTGTCTCGGCCTCGCCCTCCTCCTTGAGCCCTGAGAAACCTTGCATGTGCTCACCTAATTGTCTAAGCTCAATCGCAAGCCCAGGAAGAGCTCAGGGAGAGCGCACGGCCAAGCCTCCACTCCGCAGGGACAGGAGATGACACAGCTGGGACAGGAGGCCGAGTCCCTTACCCCTGCCCACCCTGCCCGCCTGCCCCTCACCTTCCTCTGAATGGGCGTCGGCACTTTGTAGCCCTTCTTCATGATGCCCTTGAACACCGGGTAGCTCAAGCCTGGGGGAGGTGGAGACAGCAGTCACGGGTGGGGGCGCCCTTACAGGGGCAGCTCACCGGGGGGGTCAGACAGCACAAAAAAGAAAGCTAGAAAGCAGAGCTGTGGGGCGCAGCTGTCATCCCAGCAAACAGGCGGCTGAGGCAGGAGGGCTGAGTTTGATGCTAGCCTGGGCTACACAGACCTCATCTCAAACAAAACAAAACAAAACCACCCCCAAAAAACCACTAAAGCAGGAACTTCAGATTAAGCGACACAGTCTTCCAATTCTGTTTGGCCACATTCTCAGTGTCATGAGACAAGGGTCCCTGAAGGATGCTGAGGACCGTGCCCTCCCCGAGGGGCAAGGTCCTGAATCTCCAGGGACATGGGGACATTTACAGATGCCCGCCGAGTCCCCCAGGGCAGTGGGGACAGACACAGGCTGAGTGGGCCAGGGAGCACGGAGACCCACGCGCTCTACTTCTCCACTGCCCGAAATTCTTGGCAGCTGAAAAAAAAGACACCATCTGGGGCCGAGGATTTAGCTCAGCAGCACAAACGCCTGCTGGCGAGCGTGAGGTTGTGAGTTCAATCCCTGGTACCAAAAAAGTCCCCCAGGCCCAGGGCTCAGGCCCGGGTGCTCTCTGGGGACAGAATCCGTCTGGAGCCTGTGGAGCAGAGGAAGCCGGGGCCTGAGCTGCTCTTCAGCCAGTCCTTCCTCTCTGGGGTGCAAAAGGCAAAATCCAGCCACGGGGAGATGTTTTCATTTCGGGTTTTTTCCAGTGAAGTTTTGTACGTGGGTGTTGGTCTGACTGTCCACAGCCTCTGTAGAAGGCCTTGTGGGTCATTTTCTACCCAATTCTCTTTCCTTTCCTTCTCCTTTTCCTTTCAAGACAGCAGTCCAGACTGGCCTTGACCTCGCTGGGGATCCTCCTGCCTCAGCCTCCCAAGTGCGGGGATTACAGGCGAGCACCCCCACACCTGGCATCCACCTGTAAAGTTCTATCTGTGAGGTGCGTCCTGTCTGTCTGTCCCGCCGTGCAGCTCTTACCTTACTCTGCAGTGTGGCCGGCATACACGTGTCCTTCTCAAAGGCAGTCAAACCACACCTGGAAAGGGCTCCTCTCCCCTTCCAAGGAGCTACGAAAACCCCGTCTCAGCCTTACCCCAGCCCTTTTATCTTAAGCCAGAGTCTCACTATGGTGCCCAGGATGGACTCAAACTTGCCATCTTCCTGTCTCAGCCTCCTGAGTAGCTTCGATTACAGACAGGTGTGTACCACCCTCCCCGCTCCACTCCTGTTTCAGGTTTAAATTTGTGTCTCACCAAAACCGTGTGCAAGGCTCCAGGTGCCACCTCGGCCTCTCCACCCCCTACCCCAGTGCTGAGCCGGAGCAGGCACAGAGCTGAATGCAGAGGCAGGCGGGTCTCCCTGCCACGCCCGGCTCCCAGCCCAGCTGGCTTACACACCCATGGACTGGAAGCCACCGGACTTCTTCTTCTTCTTGTTCTGCGCCCGCACCATCTCCCGAGTGTCCGGCTCCACGTCCGAGGTGCACTCCGAGGTGGGGAAGCTGGGCAGAGGTCGGCCGGGCCCCCCCTGTGAGGGAGGAGCAGAGGGGTGGCGTCACCACTGTGCCTGCCTGCTTGGTCACTGACTTCAGGGCAGGCATCCAGCTGCCCAAGAGACCTGCCTTGGAATCCCGCCCCTTCTCGCCCCTACAGTGAGATCAGAGGCATGGGCCACCACGCCCAGCTCTCAGCCCCTTTTATTTTAATGTTGGTGTATTAGTACATGGGTTGCTAAGTTGCTAAGCTGGGTTCAAACTTGTGATCTTTCTGCCCCAGCCTCCCGGACTGCTGGGCTAACATCTGTGCAGCACCATGCCTGACTATTGAGTACGGTATTTTTTTTGTTCTCCTCTAGCTTCTTGAGATAGGTACTTATATAATTAATACAATCCTTTAAAAAGTTGGATGTGATGGTACACACCCAAGGTAATTCCAGCACTTGGGGAGGCTGAAGCAGGAGGATTGTTATGAGTTCGAGACCAGCTTGGGCTACAGAGTAAGCCCAAGGCCAGCCTGAACTGTACAGCAAGACCCTGTCTCAAAAATACTAAAACAATAAATAAATAAATACAATGTATGTCAAATAATCTTCCTGTGACTGTTTAAGCATTTTTTCCACTGGTACTCCTATTACTATTTTGAGCATTAATATCCCAGCATTTTACTGTGGGTTTTGTTTGGGTTTTTTTTTTTTTTTTTTTGGTACTGGGGATCGAACTTGTGACCACAAGCTTGCCAGGCAGACGCTTATACCTCTGAGCTAAATCCCCAGCCCTATCCCAGCATTTTAAAACAATTTTGGGCCAGGGTCTCCTAATGTTGCTAAGTCGCCGAGGGTGGGCTCGGCTGGGCTCAAACCTATGATCTTCCTGTCTCGGCCTCCCAGAGTTTACAGGGATTCCAGGGTGCTCTACCACTGAACAATATGTCCAGTTCCACAGTATTTCCTTTTCTTAAAAAAGAGGTTTCCTTGATCCTGCAAACAAACACTATGCATTGCAAGGTCCATTTAAAAGCATATCATCCCTGCAGCAGAAGGCAGAAAGATCTCTTGTGTTCATGAGGTTGAGATCAGTTTGAACAAAATAGCAAAATGACATTTCAAAAACAAAAACCATCTCTGGGTGGGATTGCACATGCCTGTAATCCCAGGACTTGAGAGGCTGAGGCAGGAGGATCCCCCTCTGAATTTGAGGCCAGTCTGGGCTACATACTGAGTTCAAGGCCAGATTCAAACACAGAGCAAGACCCTAAATAAATAAATAATCTTCCCCACCTCTCCTTTCTGCTAGGGATCAAATACCAAAGTGCTCTATCACCCAGTGATATTTTCAGCCCCTTGTATTTTTTTTGGACAGGGTCTCACTAGATTGCCCAGGTGGGATTCAAACTTGTGAACCCTCCTGTCTCAGCCTCCCTAGATGCTCAAATTACAGGTGTGTGCCACCACACCTATCTTAAACCTGTTCTTTTTTCCTCCCTCCATCTTTTTTTGGGGGGTGGTGGTACCGAGGATCGAACTCATGACCACGCACTTGCAAGGCAGGCGCTTATGCTGCTGAGTTAAATCCCCAGCCCCCTCCCTGGATCTTTTACTCACTTGACTTTTCTACCTGTGCCGCGGACCCCTAGTTCCGCTCTCTAGGTGATGAGGAGCTCTCCTGTGTCTCAGACAGTGTAGGGTTCGCCACATTTGAACACAGCGCCTGGCTGCAGCAGAGCCATTAGCCTGAGCCACATTTTCAGATTTTTTTCTGGCCCTCATCGCCTGTGCCTGCCTGAGCTCTGGCCTGTGACACGTTCTCCACATCTGCTGAGCACCTACTGCTCAGACTGGGTGGGAAACGGTGGAGTAAGGCTCAGCCCGTGCCCCCGGTGGGGTGCAGTCCTTTCATGCTGACGCCCATTTACTCATGCCTGCCCCTAAAGCCCATCCTGCGCCCATCGCTGGACACAGACCAGTGGGGACCAATGGGGCACGGATCCTGCGCCCCCTCCGTGCGCACACCTCGTCTGTTTACATTCGGCACTCAGAAGTGGACGTGGGTACAGCAAATAATCAGCAAGTACAGAACACGTTTAGTTTGTGATTAGTTTCTCAGAGGTCTGGGGTGTCACAGCCTCCGGGTCCGGGGTCGCGCGTCCCCTCGGGGCTGTCTGCTGAGGAACGCCCCGAACTCTCCAAACCAGACCTTTCCGTTCGCGCACTTCCCATTGGATGAAGGGCCCTGGGAGGCGGGGTAGCCAATGAGCGCGCGCGATCCCAGGCCCGCAGGAAGGCCCACAGGCCGCAGAGCCGCCAGCCGAGCTCGCCTGCAGCCCGGGATGCGGCAGACGCCGTGGCTTCCAGCCCCGTCCTCGCGCCGGCGGATCCTCCGCGCCCCGCCTGGGGAAACTGAGGCCGCGCGCGCGTTCGGACCCCGCGCTCTTACCTGCCGCGCCCGGGCGTCATCTTCCGCCTGAATCTCAAACTCGCCATCCTCCGAGTCGCTGTCGCGGCCCTGGGAAACTGCGCCCCGGCGCTTCCGGAGCCCCTTCTTCTTCTTCCACTGGGCCATGGCGCCTGGCGAACGCGGACCGGCCGCCGCGCGCTTGCCGGCCGCCATGCGGGCCCCGGCTCTCGGGACCCGGAAGTGGGCGGGGCCTTCGGAACGTACCAACAGCGCAGGGGCCGGGGGTGGTGGTGGTGGTGGAGACGGGTCCGCTCGGCCTCGTAGCGTACTCCTGGTCTGCCACCCGGGAGGCCTGCACACCCATCCACGACAGGCGCTGGAGGCCCTCGGTGCAGCTTTGCAGAACTGTCGCCGTATAAGACGGCACGTCTTCCCCCCATCCTGCGACATGTATGGTCCGGCCCGCATCCGCCTAGCTGCAACTAGTTGCTGGTCGCTGGTTGCTGGATGCGCACGTCTAGCACGCGTCGCCAGAGGCGACTTCTATAGCTGAGCCCCAGTGCACGGGGTCCGGGCAGCCTGAGCTGCCTAGGGTCCCGGGACCCTGGGCTTTCCAGGCTGCGCATTAGGACCTTGGATGCGGTGCGCTCCGCACGTGCCCGTACACCCCCGCCGAGGGGTTCCAGACCAAGGGAGAAGGAGGCGCGGGGAGGAGATGCAGATGGTCGTATCCGACGCCCGCCAGCCAGCATGCTCAGGTAGGAAAATAAGCCGGGAATGCAGGGCTCGCAGAATGTAGGGAGGGCGGCAGACCCCACGGAGCAGAGTGGTTAAGTGCACAAACTCTGGATTCCTGCCAGGTTCACATTCCGCTTCCACTGTTTTAGTTTTATAGGCGTGACGCACACATGACCTCACCTTTTGAAGCCTCAGATTTGTGATCCGTAAAATGGATGTAATCAAAGCTACTTCACGGGGCTGTTGAGGATTAAGTGACACAATGCTTGTAAAGCTGAGTGCGCGAGGTAGGCATGGGGTCCATACCGCTGTCACCCCCCGCCCAAACAACGGCATGCACAACATACGGGGACTCCCACACAGCACGATTTATTTTTTATGGTCGATGCCATCTCTCGTTCATACCCCATTCTATAAATATTGTTGAGCACACTGCTAAAAGTCCTTTTTAATTTATTCGTTAAAGGTTCTCCAGTAAGACTCATTTTCCCATCGTAACAACTGAAAAAAAAATCAAGGAGGAGGAGCCTTGGTCCTAGGGATGGAGGTGGGGATTCTAGAGACTGCCCCTCCCCTGCCCCTGCCACTGCCTTAGAGGTCCCTCCCCATCCCTTTCACAGGGAGCCCCCGAGGAGACAGGGTCTGGTGGGCAGCCCGCCTCCGCTGTCACCCAAGGCCACCGGCAGCATGAAGATCCCCGTGGAGCAGGCCATCCGCGGGATGCAGGCCCTCCAGCTTCAGCACCGCTGCCGGGGTGGCTGTCGGGTCAAGGCCAGGGCGTCCTATGTGGATGAGACCCTGTTTGGCAGCCCTGTCGGCACGCGGCCCACCTTACCAGACTTTGACCCTCCGTGGGTGCAGAAGACCAACGGGACCAGAAGAGTGGGTGCCGGGGGGTTACAGAGCTCACCAGGCAAGGGGAGCTGTGAGACCACCCCCTCTGAGGGCAGCACCCCAACCCTCACCCCAAGAAGGAGGAAGAACAGATACAGGTAACGGTCTGTGGAGGGTGGTGCCACTGCCGTGCACCTTGACCTGAGGTCCTGCTCCAGCCCTGCTTGCCCTCTACTTATGGGGTGACTTTGATCAAGCATGTCGGCCTCTCTGAGCTGCGGTTTACTTCTGTAGAAAACAGAAACAAAAACCCCTACATAGTAGAATTGTGGATTATATGATAGTTCAGCTGTGCATGGCTGTCCACCACTAGGGTGGTGACCATTGCGATGCTGGGTCCCCACTATCACTTGTCATGGATGCTGTATGTGAGGCCCAGAGAGGTCAGGTGCCTTGCCTGAAATCTGGGTAAGAAACCCATGAAATGAAGGGCCAGAGGTGTTTCTTAGTATCAGCAAATCATTTTGAGAATAGGCTTGGCTGCATCTTCATGAATAAATTAGAAAAAACAAGAGCTGAAACTAAGGGTTATTATTAGTTAATTAGAATTTGATTATTTCTATCTTTTAACATTAATATCAGTCTGGAGTGGGCTGTGGTAGTGCATGCTTATAATCGTAGGAGGCTGAGGCAGGAAGATTAATGTGAGTTTAAGGCCAGTCTGGGCTACATAGTGAGTTCAGGCCCAGCCTTAACTAGAGGGAGATCCTGTCTCAACCCCACCCCCCAAAATTCAGCCTGGAGAGTGATGTGGTGCAGTGCCACAGATGCTGTCCTGGCATAGTTACCAGTGGCTTGGATAAAGAAGCCTGGTATACAGGAGGGTGTGTTTAGGATACATAGAAACACTGTGCCATGTACACAGGGGGCTGCAGATTGTGCCCCTTTGCTGGGGCTCCTGGAGCCAATCCCTTGGATGCCCAAGGATGGCTGTGATGGGGACTCAGCGGCAAGCACAGTAAATTTGTTCAAGCTGGCTTCCGCAGGAAAAGGGCATTTGGAGTCCCTGTGATGGGTTCAAACTGACACGACAATCACCGATTCCCATCTGTGCTTTTCTGACTTCTGTGTCCTGGGTCTCCAGGAGGGCTGAATAGCCAGAAGCAGCTGTGAGCTGCTACCTCTGTTGACTTAGGAAGGAACAGCCTGGGTGGCAAAAGACATCCCTCTTCTAGTTGCATTGAAGATCCTAAGACAGGGCCAGGCATGGTGGCATGTGCCTGTAACCCTCGCACTTGGGAGGCTGAGGCAGGAAGATCACCATGTGAGGCCAGCCTGGGCTACACAGTGAATTCAAAACCAGCTTGAACTATAGAGTGAGACCGTCTTGAAAAATCAAAGTAAACAAAAATCAAAACAAAACAAAGATCCCAAAGCAGACTCCCATTGGACAGACTTGGGTCATGTGGCCTTTCCTGAGCCAGTCAGTGTAGCCAGCAGGATGGAATATGCAGATGGGCCAGGCCTGGGCACAGGGCCAGGAGTGAGGTCAGGGTGGTAAAGGACTGGACATTTTGCAGGGGTGATAACAGATGGAGAGGTTGCTGAGAGGACAGTGGCCTTACTGTGGGTGCCAGGCCGAGAGATGGGGACGCTAAAGAAGGCAGTGTACCCCTGCTTCTGTGGATGTGAGGATGAGGGGTGCTGCTGAGTTCTTAGGGGCCACTGAGGCCTCAACTCACCCCTGTGTCACTCTTCCTCTCCCAGGCTCATCGGCCACACTCCGTCTTACTGTGATGAGTCGCTCTTTGGTTGCCAGCCTGAGGGTGTCAGCTGGGAGTCTTCTCGCCTGGCCAAGGCGGGTGCCTCGAAGCTCCACAGCCTTTTCTGGACGCCGCCGGCCACCCCCAGAGACAGTGACTCCCCCTGCCCCAGGAAGGCCCCACTGCGTGCCATGCACCCTGAGAATCCCTCCATGACACGGCCCCAGGGGGCGGCCAGCTCCCCCAGGCTGTCCCTGCACAGCTCCGACACCCCGCGCCCTCCAAGGCGGGAGCGCTCCCATTCCCTCACCTGCCTCAGTGTCCCCAGCTCTGGTCACCCAGCTGCCAGTGCCCCCCACACAAATGGACTTCAGGACCCCAGGCCTCCCCCGGCAGGGGTGACCTTCCAGAGTCCCCTGGTGACACCCAGGGCTCATTCAGTCAGTGCTTCAGTGCCACCTACCTCCCGGCGAGGCAGGGCCCCTCAGAATCCAAAGCCCCCCTGGAGGTGAGCTGCCGCTCTTACAGCTCTGCCTGTGGGGTCACTGTGAGGGAAGCATCTCCTGGGTCCCCATTGTAGGAGGAGCCCCTAGTGGACCCCCACAGCAGAGATGGGCTGTGCCTCCCCCATCCTGACAATCTCTGACAATCCCAACTCCTGGATGCATCTGTGAGCTGCTCCTGGTCGGTCCTGGCCACACCACCAATCAGTGCCAATCCAGGGCCTCTGCCTCCCAGTCTGGTGGCCACATGTGACCTGCCAGCCAGGAGAGGCCCTTCCCTCCTCCCTTCCTTCAAGCCAGCTCCCTGCTCAGGACGCTGTGTCCCCTTGAGTCTGGAGGCATTAGAGGAGCTTTCTTTGAAATCTGTACCCTTATTTCCATGTATTAAATGTATCTGTAGCTCATCAGAGCCGTGGGCGTTACTGATTTTGTTTGTCCTTAGTACGGCTGGCCATGGTGAGGTCCGAGCTCCCTGCCTGGTTGGAGCTGCTCCTGGAATCCCAGTATCCTGCCTGGGTGATCCAGGCTTTGGGGTCCTTGCCCCCTCCCCTCTGCACTGGGATTCTAGGGAGCCCAGGGGGGAGCCCGAACATTGGGTTGGTGCCTTCATCCTTGGGAAAGGAGAGGCGGGCACCACTGGGGAGAAATCACACAGAAAGCCTGCAAGTGTCAGTCAGGGGGTGACAGGGAGCCACGTCAGCTACACTCTGCACAGTCTTCACACTTTTTTGAGGGTGGGGTAGGGTTGAGCTTTTGAGATGGGGTTTCTATGTAGCTCAAGCTATCCTTGAACTCCAAGTGATCCTTCTGCTGGGCCCCTGAGCTATATCCCTAGCCCTGTGGGAGGTCTTTAAACTGCCTAAAGCTAGAACCAAGGATTAGTCCACACCCCTCTCTTCTGAGAACCTGCACTTCTGTTTGCCCTCCCCCACTGGGGTTAGGAGGCCCCCTGTCCCCCAAAGTCCTCCTTCCCATCTGCATGTGCACCAGTACAGGGGGCTGTGGCGTTGGGGTGGCCCTTGGCAGTTGGGGACTGGGAAACCATCTAAGGGGGTGTGGCCTCTGAGTCCGAGAGCTTGGCAGCCTGAAATGAGGCTCTGTTGGCACTGTCTGCCCACTTCTGTGTCCCCTGTGGGCAGCTGTGATCCACACCCTGCTGCCGTGGCCTGAGACTTGCCTGTTTTGCCTGTCGAGGCTGCTACACCTTCTAGCAGGGATGGCGGGGCTGCTGCCTGGGTCTTGGTCCCACCTAGGCCACACCGGATTGGCTGCCCACGACCCACAGCCCGGGGCGCAGAGGAGGGTGTATTGGTAGTGATCGAATGTGATGTAAAACTTTAAATTCTTTTCATTTGAAAAGAGTCACTGAAGCCCGAGACCAGCAGGGGGCGCTCACTTCTTGCCCTTGCCCTTGCCCTGGCCCTTGCCCCGCTTCTTCCTCTTCTTGAAGCGCAGCATGGAGCGCACCAGGTAGCCCTTCCACACGGCCTGGATCAGTGTGGCTGCCCGCACCATGCGCAGCATCTCGCGCTCCGCCTCCAGCCTCTTCTTGGAGCTGATCTCGCGCTCGGCCCGGATCTGGTTGAACTCCTCCACCAGCACCTCGTACCGCTGCTTCAGCTCCTCCAGCTGCAGCTTCTCCTCGAGGTGGACCGTCTCCAGGTCCTCGATCTCCTCCTGGTGGAAGAGAGTGGGCCGGGCACAGCTCCGAGCGCCCCCTGCACCCCAGCCTTCCCAGGAGGATGCAGATGGGACTCAGGCTGGCCCTGCCTGCCCCAGGGAGAAGCCCCCTGAACTCAGCTGGGGACAAGGAAAGAGCCCGGATAAGAGGGGCCAGCTCCACGGCACTTGGAGGGACTCGGCTGTCAAGCCTTTGGTTGAGATGTGTGGACAACTCTAAAGCCAGGGGCTGTTTCTGGGGTCCAATGGCCTGATGGCTGCACTGTACTGGATGAGGGACCCAGTGCACAGAGAGGACCTGGGAGTGGCCGCTGTGGAGCTGTGAGCTTTCCAGTGACCTGGGGTAGCTGGGACTGTCCTGGGGCTGCGCTTAGGCTCTGCCTTTGTCTAGCTGCAGCTCCCCGGCTGTCACACAAGCTTCCTGCCCTCCCTGTGCCTCTTCCCCTGTCCTGTCTGACACCCAACGAGCATCTCCTGGGTGGACGAGGTCCCTGCCAGCCATGACCCTCAGCCCTTCCCACCTCTGTTTGTGGTGTCAGGCAGGCATGGAACACAGGGCCTTGTATGTAGCCAGGGCTCGGAGATCAGCCTTATGGGTAACTGCTATTACCCGGAGCAGGGTGTGGGCCCAGGAGCTCCCCTCTTTGTAAGTTACCACTCCTGTGTACAACCTCAGATCCCATGACCCAAGACAGAGGTCGCTGCCTGTCATGACCAGAGAGGGCCAGGCCTGACTGGAGGTCACACAGCTGGTAAGTGTCATGAGATTGGCATCTCGCATGAGATTGGCAAAGGGGGCTTTGGTCCTTACACCTGGCCCCATCGGTCCTCAGGGACCACAGAGGGGTAGAGGTGGGGGTCTGAGCAGGTGAGCGGGTGGGAGCCCTGGAGGAGGGGAGAGGGCTTGGGAGGAGGCGCGCAGGACACAGCAGAACCGGAGCCAAGGCCCTGCTGGGGCTGGGGCACCCTGAGCCTGCTGCAGGGTCTCGGGGAGACTGGGAATGTGGCCCAGATCGAGGACATCTGGGGTTCCTACCCTAGGCCTCCAGCGTCTTGGAAACCCATAAGAAAGAGACTTAGCAACAAGTACCTGCTTTTCACTCATCTCCATGTCGTATTTTTGGATCCAGTTCTCAACTTCTGTCTCCACTTTATATTTTTTCTGAAAAAAAAAAAAAATCCAAACAGTGGTTGGTTGTTTGGTGGGAAGAAGGTAAATAGTGACCAGCTCAGGGCACTGTGTATCACAGGTATAGCAGCCAGTGCTCTGCCTGCCCCACCCACTGGAGGAGCCCTCAGTTGTCCATTTCACAGATGAAGAAACTGAGGCACAGACACACTAACTCGATTGCCTAAGGTGATAGAGCTAATGGGTGGTGGGACCTGGATTTGAGTCAGCAGTGTAGGTCCAGAACATTCTAGGCAGAGGAAGTGGTATGTGGAAAGGCCTTGAGGTGGGGATAGGCTGGTGGTGACTGAAGAACAGAAATCAGCTGGACATGATGGTGCATGCCGGTAATCTAAGAAATTGACAGGCTGAGCAGGAGGATCACTGTGAATTCGAGGCAAGTCCAGACTACATAGCAAGACTGTCTAAAAAGTACAGTGGTGGGGGGAGGGAAATCAGCCAGGTTAAATAGCAAATGGATTCTCTTACATGAGAAACGCAAAGAATACATAATTTAAAGAGCAAAATAAGAGGTAGATAATAGGAAACGAGACAGACTATGGAAATGAGAAGGGACAAAGGAGAGACAGGAGGGTGGGCAGGGGAAGAGGAAGTAAAAGGATCAGGATGTGGTCCGTGGCTGGGCGCGGTGGTGCAGCCCTATGATCCCAGCACTCAGGATGCTGAGGCAGGAGGATTGCCTTGAGTTCCAGGCCAGTCTGGGCTACATAGCTTGTTAAAGGTCAGCCTGGACCGCACAGTGAGACCTTGCCACAGAGCAAGGGTTCTCAACCTGTGGGTGGGCTGAGACCCCCAGCTCTGCCCGCCAGGGTGAGCACGGGCATCTACAGCTTCCGTCTGGGGGAGGGGCCACGACCACACTGGGGGCACAGGAAAGGCCTGTGATGAGTGGGTGCTGGGAAGGGACCCCTGGGGAGCAAAGGCTCGAGAAGCTGGCTGTGCTGATCCTGGGCTGGCCCAGATGATGGCCGAGCTGGGAAGTGAGGGGCCATGTTCCCTCAGCTCCCTCTGTGCCCCGCCCCATCACCTCCGTCACCCCTGGCTCCCTCATTCTCATAGCCAGGCTGTGAACTCGGAAGCTAGGAGGGTCTAGTTCAGTTGGCCTGAGGTTCCGGCTACCGTGATATTTTGCACCCCACCGTGGGGATTGTCACTGCAGCAGGGTCAGAGGAGCTGAGGTCACAAAGCCAGCCTGCAGCAGTGCTGGAAATGGACTGGCCCCCCTGCCCAGTTCCGGCTTCCCTGTGCCCAGCCAGCCCTGCAGTCCCCTCCCGCCAGGCCTCCCGGCACCTTGCGCAGGGCCTGCTCTGCCTCGTGGTTCTCGGACACCAGGTTGTGGTACTGGGAGCGCAGCACCAGGATCTCCTGCTGCGTCTTGGCCAGCCGGGCCTGCGAGGCGCGGAAGTCCGCCTTCTGCTGCCTCTCCGCCTCCTGCCTGGTGCGCAGCAGGCTGTGCTCCGAGAGCTTGAGCACTTGGTGCAGGTGGTTCTTCAGCTCCTGGATCACGAAGTTCTCCTTCTCCACCTGACGGGAAGATGCACTCCGTCAACTCCCGCCCGGTCACCCTCCGCTATGTACAGGACTGCCGGCCACCGAGGGGAAACTGAGGCCCAAGGAGGCGGATGGGACAGCCTGGGGCCAGTCATGAAGCCAAATGTGTCTGAACCAGAGCCCCTGTTCCAGAGCGCCCCTCACAGGTCTGGGACAGCCTTGATGCCCACCCTGGGGGCGGGGAGGGTCTAGAAGTGGGCATGAAGCAGGAAGCTGTGGGGTGAACACTGCCACTGCCAGGGTCGTGCTGGGACTGCTCTCTGCCAGCTGGTCCCTGGCTGTGCCCCATCCTGGGCTGACCCTAAAACAGCAATGGGGTTGGGGGATGGTGCTGTTTTGTCATTTATGATTTTTTTTTCCCTCTGGCACTGAGGGTTGAACCTAGGGCCTCTGCACTGAGCGACAACCCCAGCCCTTTTTGTTGATTCTGAGACCCGTGTCTTGCTAAGTTACAGCCTCGGCGTGTGGGAATCAGGAGTATGAGCCACCATGCCGGGCCTGAGGTGGCCCTGTTTTATACACAGGCTCCCAAGGCCCTCTGGGACACTGGCCTCTCTGGACACCCTGCGGAGGTGGCTGGCACTGGTGGAAAGCAGGGCCACAGGGGCTCCGGCACACAGCGGTCAGGGCCACCTGGGGATGGAGCTTCATGCTCAGGCACTAGCTCTCAGCTTGGGCAGTGCCCTTAGCATCGGAGCTTTTCTTGCCAAATCTCCACCACACACCTTGTTAGAGCTGTTGAAGCTGAATACACGCGCAGGGCTGAGGCGTGGCCTGGGCATGGAGTCACCTCAGGGGCCAAGATGGGCCAGCTGAGGCCACCTGGAGACTTCCTGGATCGTTCTCCTTAATTAGCATTGTCTGTTGCTCTGAGGGGTCCTTGAACACCCCCCTCCCCAGGTCCTGCTCAGGTGTCCTCCATTGTCCACTCAACTTGCTTATTCTGGTTAAATATGGGCTACTCAGCGTCAGTTGGCCACCGGCTAGCAGAATTAGGAGCTCTGCTGAGGCTCTCACTCCTCCTGCAGCCCTGAAGACCACGCCGCGTGTCTCATTCCTTTGAGCCTTCACTGTGCACCCATTTGGGGATTGAGGGTCCAGCACAGACCCCAGCAACTCCTGACCACTATCATCCCTCACTCAACACTGAGGCTCAGTGTCCTGATGAAGTCTGCCCACCTGGAAGGACCGGTCCAACTGGTCCAACTACAAGGGCCCAAGCATCAAGTCATCGCCCTCAACCTGTCCTAGGTGATGTCCCCTCCAGTCCTACACGTGGGAACACAAGCATGGCACACAGCGCTGGGCTCACTGAGGACAGGGTCCTGTTTTCCTGTTGGGGAGACAGACCTGAATGAAATCATCATATAATGCTGAGCATCTATAACCCCAGCACTCTGGGAGGCTGAGGCAGGAGGATTGTAAGAGTCCAGCACGGACAATTTAGTGAGCTCAGCTCAAAAAGGCTGGAGATGGAGCTCAGTACCCAGGACCTGAGTTAAATCTCAAGAACACAACAATAATAATAATCGTTCAAGTATTTGTTAACAAACTGACGACAGAGAGAACTACGAAGGGTGGGAGAGAGCACACAGCTTCCCAGGGCCTTGTCTCTCTACAGCCCGACCTGCTCTCCTCTGGAGGCAGTGCAGCCCAGCGTTTGGCCCCAGCCCCAGGCCCCTGCTCCGGACTACCTTTCCCAGCGTCCCTCTCGGCTTGGTGTGACCCAGACACCCCGGCAGTGCTGCATGCAGCCTCCAGGTGGCGCCCTCGCAGGGCCACTCGAGGACAGCAGAGAAGCCGAGCGGAAAAACCGAGCTGGGCGGCGACAACCTGAGACCCAGCCCTGCCAGCGCCAGCGTTTCCGTTCAGAGGCAGACACTTAGAGCAAAACACACACTGTGTGTCTGTGGCTCTCATCAGGCTTGGGGTCGGACCACACCACTGGGGAAAAAGAATCGTGCAGTTCCACCCTTCCGGTTCACCCCTTGCTAGGAGGACAAAGCCCAGGGCCACTGACAGGACACAAGGCCCCCGTGATCTGTCCCCTGCCCTCTTCCGTCTTTCCCCTTCCTTTGGCTCAGGTACGGTGGGGTTTTGTCTGTTTGTTTATGAGAAGCTGGAGATTAAAGCCAGGGCACTTGCCCACTGCACCCTGCTTCTCTAGTGTTAGGTTTTTTAAAGTTGCCCGGCCTGAGCTTGATTTTGGGATCCTCTTGCCTCAGCCTCCCAGAGTGCTCGGATTTCAGGCATGCACCACCACACACGGCTATAAATAAAGTTTTATTGGAACACGGCCCGTTCGTTTGCTTTCACTGAGTAATGGCGGGGTTCTAGTGTGTACTGGGCCATACAGCTTACAGAGCCTCATGTACTGTCTGCGTGGCCCTCTGTGGAACAGTCTGTCAGATCCTGGCCTGGAGTTCCTTCCTCCATGGCCCTGTTGGCTGGCTCACTCCCTCTTTGAAGCTTTGGCCTCAAATTCCCTGATCATTTGGGGCCCCATTCAGTTCTCCTGTCTCATCCTCTTCTAGCACCCTGTACTTACCCTTTATTACACTTCTCAAAACTGTAATTAAGTGAGTATCTTAACACCAACTCCTCGACTGTAAACACTGAGAGGGTGAAACCATGTGGGTTTATTTACAAGACTCCCCTCCCTCCAGGACGTTTTCCAAACTTGGTGGAGTAAATGGACAGTACAGAGCTATTTCAATCTCCCCAAGATTCCCACCCACCAGAGATGAGGACCACAGGGCTCCACGGCTCCTCCCATGACTGGACCAGTGCTGGGCGCCATACCTCTGCATCCCTGTTCTTCTGCCTCGATGCCAGTTCTTTCTGGAGTATGTCGATGGCCTCCTGGTTCCTCTGGTTCCGTCTGCTGATGTCCTGCAAGAACTGGGCCTTCTCCCGGGCCTGCATGGGGCTGGTGAGGAGTTTCTCGAACAGGAAACCCCGCAGCTCCACCAGGCCCTCCATAAAGCGCTGGGCCCCTGTGCTCCTGCGAAACGCCTGCATCTGCAGGAACTTGGTGGCCTGCGGGTCGCTGGCCAAGAGCCTCAGGATGTTCTTGGTGGAGTCCCTGACCTGCTGCATGAGCATCGGGAGGCTGGCTTTGTGCAGCTCCATGGAGAGGCGATGGTCATAGAGCCAGGCCTCCTCGGCATCCTCCTCCTCCTGCAGCCGCCGTGCTTTCTCCTGCAGGCTGCCCACACTGTCCTGCAGGGCCTGGCAGAGGGCCCCGTGCTCCCTCAGTGCCCCTGCAAGGTCCTCGCGCATCTCCACCAGGGCCTCCGGGTGGCCCACCATGTCACACAGCAGGGTGACCAGCTCCACCTTGTAGATGGCCTCATCCAGGACGGACATGATCCTCTTGGCCTCGATGGTGGCCAGTTTGGACTTGGAGGGGACCAAGGGTTTCAGGGGCTCGGCAGGCTTCGGACAGAGCTCTGTCTTCAGTGGGATTCGGCTGATGTCAGCGGCTTGGCAGACGGGGCCCGAGGCCAGGATGTCTGAGGCTGTGTCCGGGGCAGCCATGTCTCTGCGTGCCCTCTTGATGTGCTTTCTGTCCCCAGCAACCCTGTAAAGGAAGGAGAGGACATGAGCACCACACTGACATCCCTATAGCCACTGTCACCAAGATGGCCACACTGTCGACAGCGACGGTCATCTTTGGCACACTGTGCACACTCAGAACCTTTCCCTGAGAGCAGTTTTTAGCTTGGTGACAGCACTTGAGCCACCAAGATAGGAAGACAAGGGTGGAGGAGGGTCCCAGGCACAGGTGTCAGGCAGGGAGCATCCAGGGGTCCTAAGGACGGAACCCAGGGCGGCCTGGCTGCACCAGCCCAGCCCCGAGGGATGCACAGGGATGGGGCTACATGGCTGGTGGAGAGCTGGTGTCTGGGGAGGTGAGGTCACTCAGCAGGGTGGGAAGGAGGCAGACGGAATGAGGGACAGCATGTTGTCACTGATTTTTGAGTGTTGGTTTTAAAAAGTGGTTGTGGTTAGCCGGGCATAGTGGTGCACACCTGTAATCCCAGCACACTGGGAAGCTGAGGCAGGAGGATCGCTGTGAGTTTGAGACCAGCCTGGGCTACAAAGTGAGCTCAAGGCTAGCCTGAGAAAGAAAGAAGAAAGAAAGAAAGAAAGAAAGAAAGAAAGAAAGAAAGAAAGAAAGAAAGAAAAAAGAGGTGGTGGAGCTGGGTGTGGTGGCACACACCTGTAATCTGTAATCCTAGTACTCAGGAAGCTGAGGCAGGAAGATCATGAGTTTGGGGCCAGCTTGGGTCTATTTTGAGTTTAAGTCTATTTTGGACTACAGCAAGACCCTGCCTCAGAAAATCAACACAAAACAAACCCAAACAAAAATTAACTGAAATTTCAGTGCTGTACTCTGATGGGACCCTGGAGTGGACCAAATGACACCAATGGGACAACCAGAGAAACCACAGGAGGTGGCCGTCACTTAGCACGCGGTGGCAGAGTTGATTTTCCAGTGGTGACCGCAGACCATGTTTTTATGAGATGTTAACATTAGGGGGCGCTGCGTGGCAGGCATGCGGAAGGCATCAGGCTATGCTGGCAGTTTTTCTGAAAGTCTACAATTATCGTGAAATAATAAGCTCATTACAATGAGCACTTGGGAAAAATCCACAGTGCCAGTCAGAAGTCACGAATTTATGTGGGCTCTGTAGCTCGTGCCGAGAGCAGAAGCTTTGCAGCAGCTTTGCTTGGACGCCAGACTCCAGCTGTTTATTTAGTGCCCCTAGCCTGGGCTTCTAGCACAAGAGCTGTCAGAGGCTGAGCCACTATGGGTCATGGTGGAGGTTAACCCGACTGTGTCAGCCTGACCATCTGGGGAGCTACTGGTGGTGCCCATTTCTGGGTGTCTGGGATGGTCACAGAGGCGTGGCCTTGGAGATGACACTGGTCCATGTCCCCTCTGCTGATGCTGCTCCCTGCTTCCTGGCTGCCACCAAAGCAAGCAGCTCCGCTCCACCACATCCCTCTGCCATGACGCTCCCATGGACTGAACCCCCTGAAGCCATGAGCCAAATCAGCCCTTCCCTCCTGTAAACACGGGTACTGGGTGTTGGGCCTCAGCAACAGGAAAGACTACTAGTTACTTGTGCCATTTTTTGTTTCACTGTGGGTGTGAGAAATTATTTCTTTTTTGTGTGTGTGTTTTTGAGACAGGGTCTCACTATGTAGTTCAGGATGGTCTTGAGCTCACTACATAACCCAGGCTGGCTTCAAAACAGCAATCCTGCCTCAGCCTCTCAAGTAGTAGGATTACAGGTGTGGGTCACCATTCCTGGCTTGAGAAATATTTTAAACAAAGAGTCACTAGGGTTTGCGGAATGACAAAGGAACTCTTTGTCCTCCAAGGTCCATGTGCTGGGCACTTAGTCCCCAGCCTGGGCTGGTGCTGGGGTCTTTAGGAGGCGGGGCCTGGTGGAGGGAGGCCAAGCCCGTGGAGGCCAGGAGCCCTCATGCTGGCCTTTCCTGAGGAGCAGTTCCCTCTTCACCACAAGGCCAAAGCCGTGGAACCAGCTGGCCATGACTGAGCCCCTGAACCTGGGAGCCAACAGGAACGCTTCCTCTTTCTGAGCTGGTCGCCTTAGCTGTTCTGTCACTGACTTAGTGGTCTCTGTGACGCTGTCAGCCCAAGAGCTCTGCTCGCTTTCCCCTGAAGCAGGAACACAGGCTTGGGAAGGCCCCAGGCTGTTCCTGAGGATCCTGCTTCCCGGTGCCCAGAGTGCTTCCGGTCTGGTCTGAGGCTGGTTCTTCCACATTCCCTTCACCCTCTCGCTTCGCTAGGGTCGGCTTCTGTCCCTTGTGATCAGAGACCTGAGCTGATGCTATCACAGGCTGCCAGCAACCTGTGAGCAGAGGCAGCCGGAGATGGAGACGTAAACCCAAGGGAGAAGGAGGGGATATTTAAAGCCACAATGATTATCTTCAAACTGAGGGTGGTGGCACCGTCTGTAATCCTAACATCTGGGAGACTAAGGCAGATGAATCATAAATTCAAAGCCAGCCTGGACTGCACAGTGAGACCTTATCTCAAGAAAACAAAGCAGAACAAAAAGATTATCTTCAGTTCACCAGACCAAAGAGGAAATGGAAAGGAGAGGAACTTAGGAAAGAAAACAAAAAAAGATTTAGGGTATCCAGACATGGTGGCCCACGCAATAATCCCAGCCCTCTACGGAGGCTGAAGCAGGAGGGTCACAAGTGTTAGCCCAGCCTGGGTAACAGAGCAGCTCAGGGAGGCCCTGTCTGGCTGAGCACCTACCTCAGGGAGGAGGCCTTGGGCTCAAATCCTAGCATCACAAAAACTAGAAAGAAACCGCCAAGTGTCAGGGGCTACGGTTGCTTCCGTTCCTTGATGAGGTTCAAACAGGTCCGAATCAGGAGCCCTTTTGGGAGCTGAGGACAGAGGCCAAGAAGGGCGCCACCTCGGGCGGTCACTTGGCTTCTGTCAGAGTCCTGAGTCCCTCTGTGGCTTTTCCTGCAGACAGTGTTCTCCAGGCAGCTGCAGAGCTTGGAGGGGAAGAAGGATCCTGGCCCAAGGCCCCCGACCAAGGTGAACCCAGTATTTAATGAAGGGCTTCGCGCTGTCCCTGCAGCTCCCGGGCATAAATCAAAACGCCAGGATCCTCCAGGAAACGGCCACGGAGGCGACGTTTACCGAAATGTTTCCAATTTGCGTTCAGCCAAATTACCTCTTTTGCTTTAAAGGGCAAACTTGTTTTCTTTGATTACGATGCCGCCCATCAACCCTTGACAGCTCATTTGCTTGAACAAGAAAAAGCCGGCGGAATCGGGGTTGGTGGGGGGACACGTCTGACTCTGCTGACAAAAATCACCGAAGTCTCTTTTCCCTGAATTCTAATAGGAGCGTTTCGCGTCCTTTTTAATATTGAAATCATTACTGACTTCAGCCGCCCCTTTTAAGATTTCCTGCCCTGCCAGTGCAGCGAGGTTGTTAATGGATGGGGAGCTTTAATTGGATCGTTCCTTTATTTGTCATTAATTCTGCTGATGAACTTTACAAAGGAAAATATATCTTTACCATGCAAATTATAGCTTCTCGTGTCATTCAAGTAGGCCTGTTGGATATTTTATTACTTTCGCTCTCAGAACATTTTGGAAAAAAAAAAAAAAAAGAAAAAGAAAGAGAAAGAAAAAATTTGAACTCAGTGATTTTTTCCTCTCAGAGGGGAAAAAGAGAAGAAATGCCACCACCTGTGACACTGGTTCATGGGGAAGCAGGAGGTGTTTAGAGACAAAACCAACCAAGTGCTCTCAGAAGTGGCAGTGTCTGCTCAGGATGCCAGAACTAGGGAGGCTGAGGCAGGACGGTAGCGAGTTCAAGGTCAGTATATGGGTTACATGGGGCCAACTTGGACTACATAGTCAGATGCTGCCTTAAATAAACAAAACAAAAACATAAATAAACAACAACCAAAAAAAACCCCAAATAACAGTTGGGTGCAACAGCGCACGCCTGTAATCTCAGCTATGTGTGAGGCTGAGGCAGAAGGATCTCCAGATCGAGGCCGGGCATAGGTGGCTCAGTGAGGCTGTCTCAAAGAATAAACAGGGTTGGGATGTAGCTCAGTGCCACAGTGCTTGCCTCACATGTGTGGAGTCCTGGGTTGAATTTCAAATACTGCAAGAAAACAAAAACACAAAACTCCTGGAGTGCGGGGTGTGGACCTCACTGTAAGGAATTCTGTTTTAATGCTGGCTAGTGCTTGTGATTTACCACGTGCCAGACTCTGGTCTAAATGCTTCAGAGCAGTGATTCCTTTAACATTCTTCAGTGCTCTTGTTACCTCCAATTTAGGCAAGGAAAGGGTGACAGACGGAGGAGGGGGACCCTTGTGCTCGACTCACAGCTGGTAAGTGGTGGAGCTGAGCTTTCAGGCCAAGCTATCTGCCTCAGAAGCCTGTACCCCATAACCCCGCTCTGTGCATACTTTTGACTTTTCTCTTAATTTTGAGATGGAATTTTACTGTACTGCCCTTGAGCTCCTAATCTTCCTGCTTCAGCCTCCTGCTACGGGTATGTAGCTTTTGAAATTGACTTCTACAGTACACATGGTAGAATGTGTTTTTGCTGGGTGGTTTCCGTGAATCCTGTCAAGAAGAGACCTACAGAACAGATGCATTTAAGATTCAGTTTCTGGGTGGCAGTGATGGTGCAAACCCCAAATCCCAGCACTCGGGAGGCTGAGGCAAGAGGATCAAGAGTTTGAGCCCAGCTTGGGCAACGGAGTGACCGAGCATTTGTCTGTCTTAGTCACTTTCCTCATTGCTGAAATACAATCCCAGACACCCATAGCTTAAAGGAAGAGGGATTTATTTTGGCTTATAGTGTGCAGAGGTTTCGGTCCGTGGTCTGATGGCTTCAAGGCCCGGCGGATGAGCAGCTGCTCACCTCAAGGAATCCAGGAAGCAGAGGGAGAAGGGAGGAGAGGGGAGGGAGATAAATCCTTCCAGTCCACACCCCCAGTGGCCACCACTGCCTCCTAACAGCAGGTCAGCCTGGTGATGCCCCTGTGGATC